CCAAGGGGCATTTGTACTCATGTCACACTTTGGAAATGCAAAGATCAACATGCACTAATCTATATCTATAGAATCTTCTTCATCGCAAGAGTGGAATCTATACTATTTTATATTTTATGTTGTTCCAACAGTAGAGAGGGAAGAGGGCCAAGTGATGGGCAAATTGGGAAGTCTGCTGGATCCAAAAGCCTTCTGTTGTTCCACCATTTCTTGAAAAGCAAAGAGAAAACATGCCAGCTAGAAAGCTAAACAGTTCCGGACCAGCTTACCTGTCTGAATGTATTTCCCTCTATGATTCACCTCAGAGGCTATGATCGCCTGAGGAGGCCCTGCTCTCAGTCCCATCCCCCCTTGCAAGCGCAACTGGTGGAGATGAGAAACGGGGCCTTCTCAGTGATGGCCCCTCATCTATGGAACTCCCTCTCCAGTGAAATTACATCGCCCCCTCCCTCCTGGCCTTCAGAAAAAAAACTAAAAACTTGGATCTGGGATTAGACTTTTAGTCAATAATGGGAGCAAGGCAATAAGAGATTGTAAATTAATTTTAATAATGACTCGGACTGACCCTGGAATACGATCTGGATTATGTAATTTTAATTGTTGCTTTAAGGTTATGTTTTTATTGAGTCCCCTCCGGTGTTGAGAAAGACGGGATACAAGTATGATAAATAAATAAATAAATAAACATTGTAGTTATTTTTCTTAATTGCTTCCATACCAACTTCAGCCTTGAAAGCAATGATCTCAGCTGGGTTTTGGAAGAGAGAGTTCCTAAACTGTTGATTCTCCTTTCCCTGTAGCCATAAATTGCTCTGCCTATATATTCAAAAACTATGGTGAACATTGTAGTATAGTCTTCAAATGATTCAATGCTCCTAGATCTGCACGTGGGGAGTTGTATATCTCAAATCATTCCCTGTACGTGTAAAATGAAGTGGGTGGGTATTTGTTTAGCCTAGCTTTCCCCCCATCATTTACTAACTTTCTGCATACAAGGAGATGGTGATGTGGTACTCAAAGTTGTATCATCCCAATTCAACTGACCCCATTCTTCTATGCAGCATTAAAACCACAGAAATACATAATCCAACATCATGCTGTTATCTTCTTTGGCAGTCCCATGCCCTATACAACTTACAACCCCACCCTCAATAAGCAACACTATAATAAAACTGGATTTAACTATGCAAATAGATGGTACACACACAAAAAACCTTTAGTGTAATATTTACTGATCTTAGCCTACACCTCGCCAGCTCCACAAAGGTTATGAACAAAACTTTAAGAATTATCACCTAATAGGTGCGGGAGTAAGTAAGCTATTTAAACTTGGAACAAAAGGTATTATGATACTAATAGCCGTAGAAGAACAACTCCCATAAAAATCATTCAATATCACACCCTGATAAGGCTAAAAATACACAGAACCATTGTTTTATTGTTATATGAAAAAACATTTAAAGTGTTCTTTTCTCTTTAAACATGTGGCACCCAAACAGGTTTCTTTGCCACACCTCTTACTTCAACCTACTAACTGTTCCATGCTTACACCCAAAAATAATATTTAGAGTGTTATGTGGCTATTCAAGATCATTATGACTGATGCAACTCTGCTGTACTTTCTGAACGTGATAATTATTTTTATTGATTTTGGGGGGAAAGCTTGTTATTCTTTTAGAAATCAAATAAAAATATACAAGAAACAGCTTTCCAAAAGTTATAATGTGTCTCTTTGCAAACACAAAACTTGCAGAAATTGTAAGTTATGATTATTGGTCTGAAGTCAGCATAATTGCACATGTTGTCAAGCATCTAATTTGTCCATTCATAATACTTCACACTCCTCTTATTGACATAAAAGTATGCATTTGTAGTTGGATATCTTTAAGATACTAAAATCTTTTCAGTTTCCAAAAAAAGAGAGCTCCGTAAGTCACACTGGACAGGCATAACGCTCCAGTCTTCTGGCACTGTGCCTAAATGCTTGTGCCAATGACGAATGACAACAGGAATGAAATATTTTAACACGAAGCTTTGACTTGTATACGGCCCGTATGATCTGTCAAAAATACTACCTGCTATAAAAATTAAAGGCCTTCAGACCGGTATTTCTTGTTTAAACACGCTACCAGCTGAGCAGAGTCACTTGCGTGAACAAGCATAGATTCATGAACACTGTCAAGAGCAGTCTTGCCATTCAGTTGATCAAATGGTAATTTAATATCTCCAGTTATCACCATATTAATGTTCAGCATGCTTAAATACCATTTTCATTGAGTACACTACCATTTTGAGAGATCACAGCTTTATCTTTTCAATATATAACATGCCTTGGGTTATGTGATTATGGGACTTCTAACACAAAAAGTAACTTTTCTATGCTCTGTTCAAAACACTTTAATACACAGATGCTGCAATAACACTTTGTCAGAACAGTTAGCACCTTATTCTAGAGAAAAACTCTGTATTTTAGAGATATGGGACATATATGCACATCTCTCTTATGGGTGTTGGGTAACATATCTAAGATCTGCCTGAACTATGAACAACAGCTAATAGATGATATCTTCATTTCTCCAAGGTAGGGGTTGTTTCTATGTTTTTGGGTTGTTGTTTTTCAGATTTACCATCAGACATTCTTATGTTCAAAACCACAAAGGTCGGATTTCAGAGTCTAAGCAATGGCCCACCCAAATGTCTACTGGCTGCTTAATCAACATTCTTGCATACAATAAACAACACATAAACAACACACAGCTTTTCTGAGACCACAATTGCACATATTTTTCAATACTTGCTTTTTGGTTCCCATTGTGGCTGTAACACACAGTACTCCAAGTAGACAATGAAATGTGACTAGGGCAACATCTATCCTATAATCTTGCACCACTAGAAATACAAATACAAACCCAAGCCATCTAGACAGAAAACAATCTCAAACTCAGATTTCAGCCCCCTCCCCCAGAAAAGACAGACAGACAAGGAAAAAGCTAACACTCACAGCTGGGTCTTATATCCATGTCTTCACAACAAGGACTATTGAACTGAATTTGCCTTCCTCCCAATATGCACTGAATTACAATCTACCTCGGAGACCTTCGCCAGTTCAGAATCACAAGATGCCATGCATCCCATCACAAACTTCCCTGCAAACAAGCAGTTTACTTCCACTAAGAGTATACCAAGGGAACATTTTTACTTGCATATAATAGATGCCATAAGACCACATTCTCAACAGACCATTATATAACCTAAATATTTCTCTTTCTTCTACTCAAACACTGACATTAAATGTAGTGAAAAGAAATCTTTCTCGCTCTCCCCATTCCCATCGCACACATTAGTTGTAAAGCTAGAACAGGATAAAGTAGCTCATGCTGCCCTCTTGTGCTAGACTAACAAAAAGCTAGGAAAAGGAGAGCAGTATTTATTTCTTCAATTGAACAGGTAATAAAAGATCACACAAAACACATGTTAAATGAATATGCTTTACACTTAATGTAAATCAACAAATAGAGCATGGAACATTTATTAAGCATTTACTAAAATGTCAGCAATATACATAAAGGGAATGTAGATGTTCTGTTTTCTAACCTTATTATATATATTTCCCAGAGCATGACAAAGTTACAACTCAAATAACCCCCTTTCCACCAGCATGGTCGTGGTGACTGGAGGCAGGTGTTTGAAAGTTCAAAAAAAGAAAATTGTCCAACTTCTGGTTTAACCATAATTCTCTTTCCTAACTATGACAGAAACAATAACTGAACACCAACATAGCTATCAATCAGATAAGCAAAAACATTGAATCCATTTACTCAGACATTTCAACAGATTTTACTGTTTTTATCCAAGCAGGACCTAGGACCTTATCACATTGGCATATAATCCGTTTATAATCCGTATGCATCCCATACTGTATTGAGACGGGGTGCATACTCTCCTCATCACACTTGATTGTTATGATTCTAATGATTTGAAATACTGCACTTTGACTCATCACACCACGGAAGGCTGGCTCCTCCAAATCCATTCAAAATACCCCCTACATCACTCTTTGACCTTTTAAAAAGCATAGTTGCTGATGGGATTTTGCTATCACACACAAAAACAGCGCTTCTGCAACAGAATAATCTGTAGTATTTCAAAAACAATACCATTAGAACTCTATTTGCAAATAATCCATTTCTGCAGATGGATTCTAATGGAATACTGATAGAATGGGGCAAACATCATGTGATGGGACCTATTCAAAATCATTCTCAAATAGTCTTTTAAACCAAATTATAGGACATCATCCCATGGGCTTCGGGCTCTGTTTTCATGCACTTAAGAAACAGAGCCCTACGGGGGTCCCACGTAGCCCATCACATGACAAAAGAGCACTTCCAGTGGGAATTTATGAAGCTCTGTTTCCACAGTGCATAGAAAAGGAGCCCGAAGCCCATCTTCAGGAGTCGGGTGTTACTGACTCAAAACAGATTCAAGATAGGAAAAAGTGGGGGAAAGATGAGTAAGGGCATAGGGTGGTTGGCTATTCCTCAAGACTGGGAAAGACAGGAGGGAACAGGCCAAGATTGTTCCCTCTGCTTTCCCCCTTTCCTCTCACTCTGTCTGATAAAGTTCATATAGAAAGATCCCCTTCAGACATTATAAGGCCAGTTATAGTAAGGAAAAAGGGTAAATAATTAAGGAAGTGCTTTAAGACTGCACTGAGTAAAACATGGTTAATTGCCTTGATATTATCAAAGATCCACAATTTGCTCTATATTACAGAATTTCAAATGTGGAAGGGAATATTCCATAGGTTGTTTTGGACTTTGGAGCAGCCAAAGGCTACCGGAGGCTACCGGATTCTAGTCATGAAAGCCTTCGACAACACTTTGAACATTTGTAATATTCCATAGAAACTACATTTTAAAGCTACTAAAAAAGCTAGAAGGGGAAAAATATTTTCATTCATCTAATATATTGTGATGGACATGTATTTCACAACTTACCAATAGGGTTTGAGTCAAAGAAGAGCACCGGAGCTTTCAAAATTGACTGAAACATGCTGTTATGTAAAGTCTGGGCAGCATTGACCAAAACTTGAAACATCAATATATTCCTCAGTATGCTGAACAGTACTGTCACCACAGTGAAACCTGAAAAGAAATGAAATGTCAGGAAATGTAATCTACCGACTACAGAGAGAATTTTAAGCAATGGGCTGTTGTATTCACTTTAAGTGATAATGTTGCATTGTACAAAATATGATTATGCGCTTAGAAAGTATACAATTAGACTATTATTTGTTCATAATAGGAAAGCACCAAGGAATGGGAACATCAGTTTCCATATGGTTTACCAGCAAAAAATAAATAAATAAATAAAAATAATTTGCTAGCAGAGACACTTTCTTGAAACATAAATTGACCTATATATTAAAAAAATGAAAAAGGTTCAGGGTATAAAACAAGTCTCCAATGAATGGTGAAAGCTTATTTCATCTTATTTAAAAAGAAGACTGACTTGGGAGCATAGAGATGAGCATCTTCCAAGTCACAGAGTTGTCTGCTCTGATGTTTACAGTGGGCTTCTATCATCACATTTGGCTTGGGATACAGAACAAATATGGGAACCAATAGGGAGGTCTTTTACCACAGACATCCTCCAAATAAAGTGCAACAGGTTCATTGAGCAGAAGAGTAGATAAGCTTTCTTGAGGTCAGACATTGTGCAAAATGCTGATTTAAGTTATTTAATGTGTATTTAACATATGGAAGTGTTTTTCTAAAATATTATTATTAAAAACACACGAAAAGATAACAATTCTATTTTATAAAAACACACATAAGGATTACTAAAATGACTCTAACATGCTAATACTAAAAAGAAGGGGGGCCCTGGTGGCACAGTGAGTTAAACCTCTGAGCTGTTGAGCTTGCTGACCGAAAGGTTGGTGGTTCGAATCTGGGGAGCAGGGTGAGCTCCCACTGTTAAGCCCAGCTTCTGCCAACCTAGCAGTTCGAAAACATGCAAATGTGAGTAGATCATTAGGTACTGCCTTGGCAGAAAGGTAACAGCGCTCCATGCAGTCATGCTGGCCACATGATCTTGGAGGAGTCTATGAACAAAGCTGGCTCTTCGGCTTAGAAATGGAGATGAGCACCCCCCCCCCCCCGAGTTGGACATGACTAGACTTAATGTCAGGGGAAACCTTTATCTTTACTTACTAAAAAGAAAAAAGAGGGAATTGGGGTAAAGCTAACTTTGACTTCAGTTCCCCAAACAATGGTAATGTAAACATTATTATATTATTATTTATCAAGATAAATTTCCATTATTCTTCAAATACTTTAACTGATGACCTGTTTCAATGGTCTCTCGCATATGCAGCAAACCATTGACCTGGAAGGACTATGTTAAGTATTAGCTATAGACCAGAGACAAAGAGTGAGAGATTTTGAGTATTGCTAATAAAAGAAGTCCCTCCCTTGATTTTAATTTACATAAATGCTAGCAGAGTCTGTAATTTTCTCTGTGTTTTCTCCTTTCCTGTACACCTGGGATAGGAAGGATTTGATCTTTAGCCGAGTTTGGAAATATTACGATGGCTAAGGGATTCTGGAAGTTGTCATCCAAACCAGTAATGTTCCCTAGCTCCAGATTTGAGACCCATTTCTGATTTCCTGCCAACCGCTAAAAGATCAGGAACCTGCTGTCTTCCCCAGACATGGATTTCAGACATGTCGGTTGACCACATTGCTCGACTAAATCCTTAAAATAGCTGTTGAAACAAAAGCCAACTTTTGTAAGCCATGCAATTCGCTATCAGGTTGCTCTTTTGTGAACTGTTACTTGCCTCTGTGATTCAAGATCAAAATATATCCATAGTAGATTTTTTCCTTCTGCCACTGATCTTTTTAGATAATGAAAAAGAAAATGGGAACTGATCACAGCCAAATGATGATTGATTTCTAATCCACTTGCCTGTCTACACTAACAATTGAAGGTTTAGCGAGAGCAATCTATTTGGAGAGACAAAACCCACATGTTTATAGTGAGTGACTTTTTGAATACTCAATGTCTGATTCGCCTACCAAAATCAAGAAAACAAATTAAATCCCTCCTTCTTCTTAATCTCTTCTTAAACTCATTTTTTAAAAAAGGTTACATTCAGTTAGTCTAACCAGAAGACAATGTAGTCTCATTCATCTGTAATAATACAAATCACTGCAGAAACAAAAAAAGACTTAAGAGCCCATTGCTGTTAATGAGCTTCTTGCAAACTGCAACATTAAAATCTTATGGGTTTACCTGCATACATTCCCAAATACCAGTCAAGATCAAGTGTTCTTGTCTCATTTACTCCAGCGTTTCCCACTGAAGTAGCATTCAGCTTCAGTTGTTCATTTGCCCTGTAAAAATACAGCACAAAGAAATAAGAGAAAATCAAATCATTTAAATAAGCTTGTAAATACAATGGAAATGTCTAACTCAAAGATTTCCAAACTATATGTCATAACACATTAGTCTGTCAGCTAAAGCATGTAGGTATGTCATGCTTTAGCTGACATACCTACATAATGAGAAATGACAAAAAATCTTAGAGATGTGTGTTATGATCAAATAAATCATTTTAAAAAAAATACAAATGGCAGGTTTTCAAGAAATACGTTGTGTCCCTCTACAGTTTGTTATTACAATTTATGTATGAGTCCATATCTCTTATAAAGGATTGGCTTTTCCTCCAGTTTGCTTGTGAAGCTAAATTGTGTCACAAAATGATGCTAAAAAGTGTGTCACCAAAATGAAATGTGAGGAAAGCTCTGATCTAACTAGTTCTGAGGGCCCTTCCAGACAGGTCCTATTATCCTTTGAATTGGATTATATGAGTCCCCACTGCCAGATAATCAGGGATAAACTGAAAACCTGGGATCAGATTCTGGGATATAGGGCCTCTCTGGAAGGGCCCAGAGAGAATGCAAAAGACATTTTTATCCAGGTCATGAAATGGTGAAGAAACTTATGCGGTTTTGGATGTCGTATGTTGTGCCCAACTTCTGCCTGCAACCTGTCCCCAATCCCTACCCTTTACTAATATCAAGGCTGCCAAGTTGGATATGAGATGGGGCTCCTGTAACATTAATCCTTAAAATACTACAGAATAGGGTGAGGAGACATTATATCAAGCAGAACAAAGATATCTATACTCCCTCAATATCCATTCTTGAGCTTTCATTTGGAGCTGACTTCTCCCAACATGGCTGCTTCCCTGGTGGGACAGAGAGAAGGGGTGCAGAACAAAGAACAGAAGTGGGCATGCCTCAATTGTTTCTACACCCCATTTTCCATCAGTAAGACTATGGTCATATTATGGAGGGGGAAACACCTGCAACTAAATATTGGGATTTGGAAGGTGAGGAGGAAAGATACCTTTGTTCTACTTAACCAAGCTTTACCATCCCACTGACATTATAGGAGCATCCAACTTGGCAAGCCTAACTGATACATGGTTCCCCATACTTACTTACTTACTTAGGCGATCCCTCGTTGGACGAGTAAGATGGTCTTCCATTATGGATTTCCTTGTGGGTCCGTATGTGGCTGTGGAGCCCTATTCTTGCTCTGCACCTTCTTCCGCAGTGAGGGCATTGGTTTCCAGGTGGAAGGCGGTCCCGGTTGGGGTTGGCTTGACGCGCCTTCCTCCTGGCACGTTTCTCTCTTTCACCCTCCACTCGTGCCTCCTCAAATTCTGCAGCACTGCTGGTCACAGCTGTCCTCCAGCTGGAGCGCTCAAGGGCCAGGGCTTCCCAGTTCTCAGTGTCTATGCCAGAGTTTTTAAGGTTGGCTTTGAGCCCATCTTTCAATCTCTTTTCCTGTCCACCAACGTTCCGTTTTCCGTTCTTAAGTTCGGAGTAGAGCAACTGCTTTGGGAGACGGTGGTTAGGCATCCGGACAACGTGGCCGGCCCAGCGGAGTTGATGTTGGAGGACCATCGCTTCAATGCTGGTGGTATTTGCTTCTTCCAGCACACTGACGTTTGTCCGCTTGTCTTCCCAGGAGATTTGCAGGATTTTCCGGAGGCAGCGCTGATGGAAACGTTCCAGGAGCTGCATGTGACGTCTGTAGACAGTCCACGTCTCACAGGCATATAGCAGGGTTGGGAGGACAATAGCTTTATAGACAAGCACCTTGGTCTCCCTACGGATGTCCCGGTCCTCAAACACTCTCTGCTTCATTCTGGAAAATGCTGCACTTGCAGAGCTCAGGCGGTGTTGTATTTTGGCGTCGATGTTGACTTTGGTAGAGAGGTGGCTGCCAAGATAGCGGAAATGGTCCACATTTTCTAATGTGACACCATTAAGCTGTATCTCTGGCATTGGAGAGGGATTGGCTGATGTCTGCTGGAACAGCACCTTGGTTTTGTCAATGTTCAGTGACAGGCCGAGCTTCTCATATGCTTCTGCGAAGGTGTTTAGGGTGGCTTGTAGATCTTCTTCTGAATGCGCACAGACGACATTGTCATCAGCATACTGGAGTTCTATAACAGCTGTTGTTGTAACCTTGGTTTTGGCTTTCAGTCTGCTGAGGTTGAATAGCTTGCCATCTGTCCGATACATTATTTCCACTCGTGGGAAGCTTCCCATCAACAAGGTGAAGTATCATAGCAATGAAGATGGAGAATAGAGTTGGGGCAATAACACATCCCTGTTTGACACCTGATTCCACCTTAAATGGGTCACTTTGGGAGCCATTGCTGTCCAAGACTGTTGCCATCATGTCATCATGGAGGAGCCGCAGGATGTTCACAAATTTGTTAGGGCACCCGATTTTTTGGAGGATGGTCCAGAGAGCGCTGCGATTCACTGTGTCGAATGCCTTTGCAAGGTCGATGAATGCCATGTACAGAAGTTGATTTTGTTCTCTGCATTACATGAAATGTGCACTTTACATTGTTTAATCTCTTTTTTTGTTTCTGGATTTCTGAATGGATTCTTTGTCATCACCAACACGCTCTTCCGCCAGAAAAACAAGTTCAAGACATCATGGAAGCACCCCCGGTCAAAGTATTGGCACCTCTTAGACTATGTAATCACACGCGCCAGAGACCGCCGTGACGTGCTCCTCACAAGAGCCATGACAGGTGCTGACGACTGCTGGACTGACCACAGGCTAATTCGATCCTCGATGGCTATCAAGATCGCTCCTAAGCGCAGACTCCAAGGAAGGAAGACAAGGCGCAAAATGAACACCCAAGCCCTTCAGGAGCCCTCCAGACGAGCCCATCTCCAAACAGCACTCAAGGACCATCTACCCACAGTACACCCCGAAAATGTCGAGGAACATTGGAACAAACTGAAGACCTCCATCATCACAGCCTGTGAAGAAACTATTGGATACCAAGCCAAGAAACATCAAGACTGGTTTGATGAAAATGACATTGAGATCCAACAGCTAATTGACAAGAAAAGGAAATCCTTCCAAGCATGGCAGAGAGACATCAACTGTGCTGCTAAGAAAAAGATCTATGCCAGTGCAAAAGCTGAGGTCCAAAGAAGGACAAGAGAACTCAAGAACATCTGGTGGACAAAGAAGGCCGAAGAAATCCAACACCTGGCAGATACCCATAATGCTCAGGGATTTTTCAAAGCCACAAAGGTCATCTACGGACCGAGAAACCATGGCATACAGCCTCTACGCTCATCAGATGGAACCAAACTCCTGAAGGACCAAAACTCAATTGCACTACGTTGGAAAGAACACTACCAAAGCCTCCTGAACCGCAGCTCCAATGTGGCCGAAGAGGTCCTCTCACAAATCCCACAACAACAAACCAGGGATGAGCTTGCAGCACTGCCTAGTTTGGAAGAAGTCAGCAATGCCATCAGCCAACAGAAGAATAACAAAGCCAGTGGACCAGATGGGATCCCTGCTGAAATCTTTAAAGAGGGAGGACCTGAGCTGACACAACTCCACCAGCTCATAGAAAAAGTGTGGGTGACCGAGAAAATCCCAGCAGATTTCAAGGACGCCACCATCATCACCCTCTTCAAAAAAGGGGAAAGAACAGACTGCGGAAACTATCGAGGTATCTCCCTTCTAACCTCAGCTGGGAAAATCCTCGCAAGAATCCTTGCAAACCGCCTTCTGCCCCTCTCAGAAGACACCCTCCCAGAATCCCAGAATCCCAGAACGGTTCCCCATGGTCCTAAAATATAAAGAGGTTTTTTTTTCCCTTGTCAACCAAAAGCTAATGATGTGTGGCATCACATACATAAATGTTCTAAGCAATGAAATCATCAACATAACTGTTCTAAGCAATGAAATCTGCACTGTTTTTCAAATTATCAACTAACATTTCTTACTTACCAGTAAGAAAGCCACCAGTCCTGAAGTACATAGGCAACCTTGAACAAAGTCAAACAAACATGTTTTGAGTGTAATTTTGCCATATTTTAACACACCCCAATTTTAGCAGCAGAGAAGTTTTATTTACCACAGGCCACCAAGAGCAGTCTCTCAGTCTACACAATGTTTTCCACATGTCACTTCTATCCCAATTGTATTTCAACACAGTTGGAAGATATCAGCTTTGATAGTATTTGCATTTTCATTATTAAATATATATGATGATTTTATTATTAAACTTATGAGAACATAATTATAAATATTCTCCAAAATATAGGAATAGGAATGACAATGGTAAAAGCAGTAGTAATACATCAAAGAAGGGGGTCCTGGTGGGCTGGAAATCAATATATAAACGTGTGTGTATAGTTGCTTTCGAGTTGCCTGTTGATTTATGTTGTTTCCATGAATTGTATGAGGTTTTCTTTGGCAAGGAAAACCCAGAGGTGCTTTTGCCAGTTCCTTCTTCTGAAATGTAGCCCACAGTACCTGGTATTCATTGGTGGTCTCCCATCCAAACAATAACCAGGTCTGACCCTGTTTAGCTTCTAAGATCAGATGGGATCTGATTTTGTATGTGTGTGTCAGGAGTGGCTCAAGAAACTGCAAGTCACTTCTGGTGTGAGTTAGAATTGGCCGTCTGCAAGGACATTGCCCAGGGGACGCCCGGATGTTTTACCATCCTGTGAGAGACTTCTCTCGTGTCCCCACGTGAGAAACTGGAGCTGATAGACAGGAGATCACCCCGCTTCCTGGATTTGAATCGCCGACCTTTCGGTCAGCAGTCCTGTCAGCACAAGGGTTTGACTCATTGTGCCACGGGGGCTTCATGTGCCTTGAGGGTACTGGGGCTCAATATATAAATATTTTAAATAAATAATAATAAATAATGCATAGTGTCTATAAACAGAATTCAAACCATCCCTTGACCATGCCATGTAGATCCATCACTAGAGGATCTTCCTACTTCCTAGTTAGGTTTATAAAAATGGGAGGGGGGGGTGTTATATGTCAAAATTACTGGCAATAAGAATTGCACACATATCTATCCTACCAATACCAATAGCTGGTTCGTTGATTGGTTGGTTAGTTTTCAACCACCACCATAACTGCAGAGCAGGCATAACACTATGCTCGTACTTGCCTTTAATCATTTAAATCATTCAAATATTAAGTGTTCCCTTTTGATATATCTCAGACTGCTTTGAGAAATTTAGTCAACTAACAGGTTGACCAAGCTTTGTCTTTCAGAAAGACTGCACTTTGGAGGGATTGTATCAACAGCCTAATCACATTGGAGTCTGACAGAGTGAATTGGGCTTCAACAGGAAAACCAGAAATGTAAATTGGAAAATTTGTGTAAACGCTGAATAATACCCAGCATTCCATTCTTTGAAGGTGACCCATTTCATTTATTCAGCCTATTTATTTATATTTTAGAACAATCACCCAACAAAGACAACTGAACACCTCAACCTTTCTAGAACAGGACCGTGGAAATAAAATTAATGGAAACATCCTCACACCCAGATACAGACCAAGTGCTCAGAACTATAAAACTTGATTGCTATAACTTTTCTTTAAGTTAACAAGATGAAATAGACCTTGAGCTGGTTTGAAATTTGAGCTGTTTAATTCAAAAAAGGAAAAGAAACTTCTAATACATTTGAAAATGTTATGCTGCTGCACATCACACACCCACACACAGTAGGAACTTGCATACGCTGAAATGCTGTAAGCACAAATCATCAATAATGCTTTCACTTGCAATGCCAAATACCTTACCTGTGCCAAAACATTGAGAGAGAAAATTATAAATATGACAAAATAATTTGCCCCAGCAGCAAAATACTTCTTATAAATGTTAAAGCCAATTTTCCCCTCTGAACGACTCTCTTCTGGCAATGCGGTTAGGAGAGGTTCCATCTGGAGTGTATAGAATGGATAAAGAAATTAAGGTAAAACATTAAATTGTTGCAATTAATCTCCAGAGAAAAGCCTTTCTAAAGCACATAGGTAAGAAAGCAATCTTATGTGTGTCTCCTCAAAAGTAAATGCTCTTATGGTCAATGATTACTCTAAATATAGGGACTGGAATGCTGCTGTCTAAAAAGCAATTTGTTACAGTTATAATTCAACCCCACACCTCCTGAAGTTAGCACACAGATGCAATTTTAAAATCATTACTCCCTCATTTCTTGAAAGTACCTACACTGAAACTTCCACATTCACTAGAGAAAGGGGCACAGGACCCTCATGAAAGTGCAAAAACCAGAAATTTTAAAAATGGGGTTTTTTAACCTAAAAGAATACCTCTCTGGGAATTTGTTCCAGCATGATCCTATGGTCAATTTTCTTTGGAAGCTAAACACAGAATCATATTGGAAGACCTAAAGATCCCTAGAGAGATGATCACTAGGTTTTCCATCATGGCCGGGGAAAATTGACCACAGAATAACAATGGAGAACCTTAGGATACCCAGGAACTGCAAAGATCTGAGGCCTGTATGTGGCCTATGGACCATACTCACCTCATTTTTTGTTTATTTTTGCAAGAAAGAAAATATTAAAATATTCATGCTCCTTTGTCTAGAAAAGTAATTCATTCTCTTTGGGCATCTGGTTGTTTGAGGTGAAAATAGGACTGTATTTACAGATTTTATAATTATATGTTAACTAATTTTTCAAGCTCTCTGTATGTTCTTCTTGCAGGTGGGTGGGATAGAAATCTGGTCACGTCACTCAATTTTTTCATTAATTCTATAGACATTTTCAAATTCTATCCTCTGTGTATATGCATTTGTTTTAAATGATGTCTCAAGCTTGTAGTCTTTATATGTCTTAAATTCTACTCAATATTATGCAGTTGTCTTTTCACCTTTGTGGTTTTTACTTTTTCAGATTTGATTACTCAAGGATTTGATTTAAATGTGCTGGGTATCCTAAGGATACTCTCCCCACAAATTAAAATCCCTTGGCTAATTTTTAAATGATTCCCTTCCTAGACATGGTTCCAAAACATTTACAAATGGAGTTTCATTCACCTATCTCCTGTCTCCTAATAACCGTCAAATCAAAAATCAGCCAAAAATACCTAAAATAATAATAATAATAATAATAATAATAATAATAATAATAATAAACAACTCTATTTATTACCCGCCATCATCTCCCCATAGTGGACTTGAGGCGGCTAACATAAGGCCAAGCCCTAAAATAATACATCACAACAAAATACATAAAATAACAAAATAATATAGACAGTGCAAAATAATATAATTAAAAATCAAACACAAAGGGCAGGCCAAATGTATGAGATAAAATGTTAAAACCCTGGGTGAGATAGGGATGTATTTGTGAGGGAGGAGCCCAAGAAGGAGAGCAGTGGGGTTTGGCCTTTATTGTGGTCAGGGGAAAGTGCATCATAAGACAACTGTAGATGGAATCAACAAATGGGTTGAATGGTCACTCTCTGAAGGCACATCGGAAAAGCCAGGTTTTTATATCTTTCTTAAAGGCTGCTAAGGTAGGGCTTGCCTAATCTCACCTGGGAGACTAGGGCAAAATTTGAGACCACTTCTGCTACCTCAAAACATGGCAACCGGAAGTAATATTGCATCACTTCCATTGTGCCTAAGATACATAGATGCAGTCTGTGGAGGCAAGGTGTAGGACGGGAAACATGGCCCTCATAATCTACACACCTGTCCACCTGTTAGAGATGCTACACTTGATCATTTGAGATCTTCCATTATACTAGCAATGGAAACTGAATTCCTTCAAATTAGGGATAGGTAACGTATAGACCGCATGCAATCTCTATTTGTTTTTTCTTCCTTCAATCCCCTACAAGAGTTCCTCTACCCCTGAAATCTCAATGATGTCAAGACAAACCTTTCCCCACTGCTTATTCTAATGTTAAAAGGAGCCCCGTATGATGCCAACACTCCTATAGTGAGTGGCAATTCCAGAAGCCATCTATAAATGCTAGTTTTGCTAATAGTATGTTTCTTCTGCTTTTTTAGCAATTTATGAGTCAGGGCATCCACAATGAAACAACTGCCGCCACTAAAAATTAAAATTCACAGCAAAAGAACAAACTGTTTCATATATGTGCCCTCTACTCACAGGAGGAGGTTCTGCAACCCCATCTTTCTGTGACTGAACAGAAGACTCCATTGACCACACAGAGGACTCTGAAAATGTCCGGATCCTTGACAGCTGGTGCCCGGAGGTCCCTGGGAGAGGCACCTGATCATCATCTGCTTTTTTTAGAAGGGAAGCAAAATCTATTCCCGAACTCAGGATGTCAGAGTATGTCCCTTTTCCAACTTCCACGCCCTAGAAATAAAATAATCACAAACATGTGCAAAATGTACAATAGCTTTACCAAATGGCCAATTTCAGTGTAAAATCTTTCCAATTAAAAGCACGAATTTGTATACAATATATTGGCTAACATTCAGATATACAAGACAATTTCTGCCACTTTTGCTTACATATGTTCACACCTTCTGAAACTCTATAAGATTAAGGTAATCTATAGAATAGTCTCGGAGGTTGTGAATGCATGGAGGAGTATGTGTGAAGACATTTGAAGGGTTTCCTGACACATACCTTCCCCTGTAGTGATTGTAACTCAAGTTTCCCATACTCTTCCAAAAGTTTGTTGCCACCTGAATCTCCCACTGAATTCACTCCCTCTAAGACGGTGGTTCCCAACCTTTGGTCCTCCAGGTGTTTTGGACTTCGGCTCCCACAACTCCTAACGGCTGGTATGTTGGCTGGGATTTCTGGGAGTTGAAGTCCAAAATACCTGGAGGACCAAAAGTTGGGATCCACTCTCTAAGACACATGTAAGAGTGTTCATTTATTGTGGCTCCCGCTTGTTCATCCCAACCCTGCTAGAACAACTGATACAGATGACTAGACAGTAGTGGTTATGACAAACAAATAAGTAAATTAGGAAATGCTACTTAATATATTCACAGGCCTATTACTGTAATTAAATCAAACCAAGTACTGTATTGCATCGATTCAATGGCAAACGCTAATTTCAGTACCACCAAAATGAACTATTTTGCCCCTACTAGTTCTCTGCATTCCCATAAAAAGAAATGAGAAAAGTAAGGAAAAGCCCAGGAATGGCAACAATTTGAAACATGGCACACATTCTTACAGAAAACTCCACCTACTACTTAGTTTTTTAGAAATGGTTTTGGACCAGTTCTATATGAACACTTTGCTTATATGTTTTATGATGGGTTCTAAAAGAAAAATCACCATAATCCATTTTTCTCAATTCGTTCAGAAAAAAAAAATGCTGGGAAGGAGTCCCATTTACCTGGGGGTGGAGAATAATTCTACCACGTTTCCAGCCCTCATGGGGACTTTCGTATCAATTCCTGTTTTAAATAAAACCTTTCCTGAAGTGAAAATGGCCCGCCACACCCTGGAGGAGGCATTTTCTCAACTTTTGAGCATTGGCAGCCCCTGAGGTTCTCAAAAACTGGCCTGGAGAATTTTAAACCCAGTGCCTATAATCAGCAAAGTACTACAGCCGGCCCGTTCTAAAAGTATACTAAAGGCAATGTTTAAACGAACACCACTCTATTTGATAAACTTCCAAGCTCTCTTCTGCACCTTCCTTTTAAAGTAACACCTGGAAATAAATATAATAACCTATTTATAATGCATAGCTTGCTTCCTTATTTATTGATTCACTCATTAACTCACTAATTCATTATCGATGCTCCATGAAATCATTCTGGCCACATGACCTTGGAGGTGTCTATGGACAATGCCAGCTCTTTGGCTTAGAAAAGAAGATGAGCACCAAGCCCCAGAGTCAGACATGACTGGACTTAACATCAGGGGAAAACCTTTGCCTTTACCTTTTCATTATATAGAGGTGTTCTCTCATAAAGTCCTACATACTTTCCACTCACTCTATGAAGATGAACCTGGGCTCCTGAAGACAATGCTGGTGCATCCTCTGGCTCAAGGTGGAATGCAAAACTAAATATTTCTTTCCAAGTTAAGTACAGACAGACACATGAATAGAGGACATATAATGAATTGGCCATAACAATGATGAACAGAATGCTACCACAGAACAGCTATGATCTCTACTGAAATAGAGGCAACCTGCATTGATGAAGCCACGGATCTTCAAGTAAAAAGGTGTTCATTTACAATCCCTGGATTGCTTGGAAAGACAAGCTGGTTTCCAGATAATCCAATTACAATAAACCAGCCATGTACGGAGAGTTTGTGATTTGTTTATTCCCTCCCATTTGCAAGAGGAACCAAGTGGAAAACAATTGGATAGTTTGCATAAACATTGCACTTAAGTGATAAGCTCTGACTCTGTTGTAGCCAAACTCTACCACTGAGATTACTGGAGAAATGAAACTCAAATGTTCTTTGAAAGCACAGCTAAAACTAACATGCCAATTAACTACAATACTATAGCTTTCTCTGTAGTTCCAGAATAGCCCCTGGTGCTGAATAAAATATTCTCTTGTTTACCTTTAAAAAACCCTTTTTTAATTTGAACATTTAGAACACACATTCGAAACACATATCCACCTACCTCTTTTAAAATGAGGATCTGTTTTGCAGCCTGTAGATACTGCAGCTGGTGGGTCACTAAAATACACACCTTTTTGTGCAAAGTCTGACAGATGCACCTGCAAACGGAAACAGACATGGTGGAATTCTGACTTCAAAAAATAACCATGAAATACAAACATTTTAATGACTAAGAAAACAATTTAAAGACTAAATGCAAATAATCTCTGAAGAACAACATTAATTTTATCATATTTCATTGCCATGTTGGTCGAAAGAAGAAGGTGAAAAGATATAGGTGCAAATAAAATATCCTTTCCAAAATGAACCAGGAAAACTGAATCAGGACAAGGACCATAATATGAACCATAAGTTAACCCTGCAAAAAGACCAGTGTTCAGAAAAGTTGTTTCTTTGGATTACGAAACCACTACTAACATCCTCCAGTGTGTACCCTGGCCATATAAACTGGGACATTAGGCGAGCTGTAGTTTAAAGAAGTAACTTTTTCATGTTCTGATCCTCTCCCTAGTGAAAATATTTGAAAAGATTATCAATTAAAACTTTTTCTACATAATAGGTGAAGTTATCTGGTCACAAAGTCACTAACTATAGGCTTTAAAGACAACACTAGGATGACATTAAGCCAGTCTAAGGAACAAAATATACCACACTAGTTTTTGAAGATCACTGGTTATTTTTCTTGAAATAGCAAGTACTTTGAAAGCTAGAATAAGGTATTTTGCACATTTTGGTTGATCTAATATAGATATCACCAGAACATATGATTTGAGTTTTGTTTTATGGCCAATATGGATCCTCTTGCATTTTTTTCACTACAAGCTTTGATCATCCCACAGAACTTTTAAGGGAAATACATGTGTCTATTTCATTTCTCAAATTTCAATAAAACTGGCTTGAATTTGAACTGCCTGGCTCTAGAACAACCTCAGAGGCCCACAATGCTATCTCAGATCTATGTTTGGCCCAAAAGACACACCCACAGGCACCCATTTTGGGACTAATATATTGATATGTTATCTTGGTTTGTCTTCCATTGACTTGTGCAACCCACTCATAAAGTTACACATGTAACACACAAAAACACACATGGAGCACAGCTGTGTATTTTGGTTATAGAAGTCTAAACCTACTCATATGTAAACAGAGATGCACCTGAATTGCATACAGATATAATATTAACATTGGTTTAAGTATTGGACTATGAGCAGGGTTCAATTCTCTGCTCAGCCAATCTTGCGATGTGTTTCCTAAATATATGCAGCATCAGCAAAAGGTTATATGGCTGCTTATTTCCCATCTTACAGAGCAACACTGGTTTTACACAGTGATTTCTAAAAATGGAAATGTAATAATAATAATATTACTTTATTTACAGATTGTCCTCTCTCCCTGAGGGGACTCAGAGCGGTTTACATTACTAAGGAAATGTAGTCCTTAATACAACATTACCTCATGGAAAGGATCTTGCATAATCATAAAAATCAAGCAGAAATCTCTATTTTCAGAATGGTTTTCCTTGTGTCCAGAAGATATGAAAAGTGCTAGACACCAAAAAGTTTATAGGCCTCAATATTATGAAGGATTTACTGCAATACAAACCACTCATACATAAAACAATCAACATACATTCCAATGTGGTTTAGAGAATGGAAAATAAAAATAGAATGATTTTTAGTATCAATCTGTTATGCACCAAAGCCTTGCTGACCTTGTCATTTCTGACACGCTTGGCTGCAAGTTGGCTCTTTGGGATGATAGGGCTTTCAACATACATCACCTCTTCCTCATGCTGATAAATTTGCACTTCAGTATAATCACACTAGTTTGGAAAAGTTAGAAGGCAAGTTCCCATGGTGCTTGGGATAGTCCAACAATTCTACTTCCCTCCTCTCTCAAAAAACTTCTTCAAATTCTGGCAGCGAATATCAAGGTTCATATCAGAGTGTTTAGAATTAGTGGACCTCATTTATGCTTCGTGAATCTCCCCTGGAAATGCCAACCACAGTGTTATGACCCAAACAAGTGCAAGGAGATAGATGTGAGGACTCACATATCTAAACAAGACATTTAACAGTTGCTTTTAGGCTACACCTTACTTGTGAACATATACTAGTTAAATCTGACAAACAAAACCCTCCACTTTTGACTTATCTTACCAAAAATGTTTTTTTTTCTTTCTAAAATCAAATGGTTTAATAAGTGCATCTTCTGGTTTAATAAAAGCCCTCAACTTTTGACTTATCTTACCAAAAATTGTTTCCTTTCCTTTCTAAAATCAAATGGTTTGATAAGTGCATCTCCTGGAGACTGAGAGGACAATTTCACCATGTTTGGGGATATTTCTGGTCCATTTCACTTCCAGAGAGGACTTTTTCTCAGCCAAGAGGTTATTTCTAGTATGGAGGGAAATCCCCTCCCAACCTAAAAAGGGATCAAAATGAGGGGAAATTTCCCCCTTTGACCCCTAGGGACTACATGTTGCCCATCCCTGTTTAACTGAATGTGTAAGTGGCTTTTTTAATGCTATCATGCAATTTTCCAACTGTAACAAGGGCGAAAAATCCAAAGCCTTGAAATTTCAAGTTGCAAAAATGCACAAAATACAAGGGTGGCCCTTTAGCCTTTCAATTGCCTTTTCAAACTAAATAATGTGACATGTGCTATTTCTCTTTGGGCATGGCCTGTGCAATAAGTGTAATGCCCTACACGTCATTTTAAAGCACCTTCTGGAACACACACATACATTGTCCTACATTATCTAATTGCAAAGGCAAAACTGAAAAGCTTAGAAAGGGAAACCACAGTAGTATAAAAAGCCACTTACCATCCTTTATCTTTCCACTAAGTTCTAATATGGTTCTATGGTGTGTATCATCATAATATCATCATAAGGGCAGCACAGGGCACATTTATTCCCAGGAGTAAGTCAGCAGAGCTTTGACTTCAGTAGACCTGAAATGGTAGAATTAATTTGAAAATGCACCCTATACAGAAAACTCAAAATTTACTTTAGTGTACCAACCTCTTACAATGTGTCTTTTTATAAAAGGTTTAGACTTTCAGAGATAAACACATGAGTATATTTGTAGAATGTTTACTTTGTTTACTTTCCTTACAGAAGATAGAAAAAGACTTGGGTGCTTAGGTTAAGATTTTGGGGGGGGGGGGTGTTTGTTTGTTTGTTTTTTAAATAAAAAGCCAAGAACCAGGTGGTCTTCTCAAGTTTTATACAAGGAGTGCTTGGGGAACTCATCTTTGTGAACTGCAATATAAAATGACCAAAACAACACCTCCCAGAATAAACTATAGTTGAAGATGAAATACCCACCCACATCTACATTCCTGATACAGCTAAATTTGAAATCTTGTACAGTGAGAGTCAATTAAAAAAAACCCGGAAGAAACCTAAAAGGTTACATACTTTTCAAACAGATGCCTGCTAACTTCTGCATCCACTGCACTCAACGGATCATCCAGGAGGTAGATGTCTGCATCTTGATAGACAGCTCTAAAACACATGAAGAAATAACATTAGATGCTAGTAAAATAGGCTGGTGGTTCTTGGAATCATAGAATCCTAGAGTTGGAAGAGATCTCGTGGACCATCCAGTTCAACCCCCTGCCAAGAAGCAGGAAAATCACATTCAGAGCATCCCCAACAGATGGCCATCCAGCCTCTGTTTAAAAGCCTCCAAAGAAGGAGCTTCCACCATACTCCGGAGAAGAGTTCCACTCCTAAAAGCTCTCACAGTTAGGAAATTCTTCCTAATGTTCAGGTGGAATATCCTTTTCTGCAATTTGAAGCCATTGTTCCATATCCTAGTCTCCAAGACACCAGAAAACAAGGCTGTTCCTTCCTCCCTATGGTGTTTTTTAAGACCATCTAAGAACCAATGCCTGAATGGTACTGATACCCAAATAGAGGAAATATTATAACTGTTGAATGATGAATCAATAATATTTTTTTAATCTCATTAATACAATGGGATGGTTTTAGTTGGAACTAACAGTAGGATTTGGACCTTTAAAAGGTATATTTACTCAAGTCTAGTGTGCCATTGAATCTAATGCACAACTCAATTTTCAAAAACTGGAAACCTACATATGTGTGTGTGTTGAATGTAAGACGCAGTGGGAAAATGTGCACCTTTGTAATTTGACCAAAAAAAGTTCACATTACAGTTGCTGCCTGCTTATAATTAATTCTTCAAGAACAGAAGTGTTAGAACACCAAAGTTTTCAGCAATAAATAAGAAAGCATCTATGCTTAAGAATTAATCCACTTCGTCTTAGTACAATACTATGGAGTCCTGGGGGCTGTAGTTTTATAAGGCCTTCTCTGTCAAAAATGCTGATGCCTCGCCACACTACAAATCCCGGGGTCGCATAGTATAGCAACTGGATTTGAGTGTGTAAATCCTGATATCCTTAGAGACAGTCCCTTCTTCTAAAGACCCCAATGGCATTTTAGATCTCTGGACAAAGTCTTGCTTCACTTGCCATTTTATAGACAACCTTAATTTAGCTTCCAAAAGGAACGAGTCCTTCTTGGTGGCAGCTGCTTCACTCTGAAGTTTTGACAGGACAAGGTTGCAAAGCCTCTTCCCATTTGTCCATTTAAAGAAAGGTTAAACCATCTTTCTTTTACACAGCCTTTAAAATCCCAGTCTCCTATCTTCTGCCATAATATGTTGTTTTGGATGGTTTTTTATTTTTATTATTTGACTGACATTTTATATTGTCTGACATTACTGCTTGAATTCTCTCAGCACAACTGGGAAATAAATATATGAAATGGTCGGTTCCACAGATTATGTATTTCAGCCAACTCTACCATTAGACAGAGTGAGGTACTGTATTTTCTGTTGTATAAGACTACTTTTTAACCCAAGAAAATCTTCTCAACAGTCAGGGGTCGTCTTATACGTGGGAGTCGTCTTATAGAGCGGGTGCTGAAACGTCCTATTCGGATTGGAGAATCTGTGGTTGCTGCATATGGTGGGGGGAGCTCACCATATGCATTGGATGCGTCCCTGCCATGTGCAGCGACTGTATGAATGCATTAAGGGCGACGCTGTACAAGTACAGTAGAAGAAAATCCATTCATCAGGATTCGTGGACTTAATGCGGTCTCGATGGTAAGGTGGAGGAGCGCCTCACCGGAAAGGTGTAAGTGAAGGGCGGAGCAAGCTGCAGGCACCCAGGGTATGGAAGAAATAGATAAGAGTGGCTCTGGGCCCAGAAAAACACACCTCTTTTACCTGTCTGGCCCACCCTTGTATCTTATGACCGTACCTACTCCTCTGCCTCTCAGATCTCGCTCCTGAACACTGCAGTGAAGCAGTGCAGGTGCGCAGGTGCGAGATCTGAGAGGCAGAGAAGGAGGTACAGTAATAGGAAAATTACCATACTGAAATCAAATCTGATGGTTTTAAAATTTTTATTTGGTGCACGTTGGAAGAGGAGTAGTCTTATACGGCGAGTATATCCCAAACTCTATATTTTAACTGGAAAAGTTGGGGGGTCATCTTATACACCCAGTTGTCTTATATGCCGGAAAATGTGGTAGTTACTGTAGGCAGCAGATTTGGGATGCTGTAAAGCTATAGTAAAACAAACTGAATTGCTTCACCATATTCATTATATTGCAAGGGAGAAGAAGAGGACCTTCAATCCCATGTACCAAAATTATCTGGCTGGATAGGGGCAATGCACACCTTGATTTGGGTGTGTTGCACGGCGCTACAGTTTACTGCAATGCCTCAGGCTTCAAACTGTCTTGAGTCAGCCATGATACCCATTAATCTGAACAGAGGCTTGTTAAAACCCACCACTCAGGATGGGTGCCCTGATGACTCGGCAGCTCGCTGTGAAGCCTTTGCTCAGTTCTTTGCAGACAAAGTCGCTTTGATCCGCTCTGGACTGGACACCATATTAACGGCAGTCTCTGAGGATGTAACACGAGCATCTGCTTGTCCAATTTTGATGGATTCATTTCAATTGGTTCAATCCGAGGATGTGGACAAGGTGCTTGGAGGAATGAGAGCTACTACATGCATCCTAGACCCCTGCCCATCCTGGCTTCTGAAGGAGGCCAGAGGGGGATTGGCCGAGTGGGTGAGTTAATGCCTCCCTTCGGGAGGGCAAAATTCCAGCCAGCTTAAAGCAAGCTGTTATAAAACCGCTGTTGAAGAAACCATCACTGGACCCCACTCAATTCGTCAACTATCGGCCTGTTTCCAATCTCCCCTTTTTGGGCAAAGTCATGGAACGTGTGGTGGCCTCACAACTCCAGGCATTCTTGGTAGACACGGATTATCTGGACTCGGCACAGTCTGGCTTTAGGCCGGGGCATGGTACCGAGACAGCCTTGGTCGCCTTAGTGGATGATCTGCGTCGGGAGCTCGACAGGGGGAGTGTGTCCCTGTTGGTGCTGCTGGACCTCTCAGCGGCCTTCGATACCGTCGACCACGGTATCCTTCTGGGACACCTCGCGGGGATGGGTCTTGGAGGTACTGTTTTGCAGTGGCTCCGCTCATTCCTCGAGGGTCGGTCTCAGAAGGTGTTACTGGGGGACTCCTGTTCTACCCCACAACCTTTGTCTTGTGGGGTTCCTCAGGGTTCAATACTGTCTCCCATGTTGTTTAACATCTACATGAAGCCGCTGGGCGAGATCATCCGGAGTTTCGGAGTGCGATGTCATCTGTACGCAGATGATGTCCAACTCTGTCACTCCTTTCCACCTGCTACTAAGGAGGCTGTCGAGGTCCTGAACCGGTGCTTGGCCGCTGTGACGGTCTGGATGGGGGCGAGCAAATTGAAATTGAATCCAGACAAGACAGAGGTACTCCTGGTCAGTTGCAAGGCCGAACAGGGCATAGGGTTACAGCCTGTGTTGGACGGGGTCGCACTCCCCCTGAAGATGCAGGTTCGCAGTTTGGGTGTGATCCTGGACTCATCGCTGAGCCTGGAACCCCAGGTTTCGGCGGTGACCAGGGGAGCATTCGCACAGTTAAAACTCGTGCGCCAACTGCGCCCGTACCTTGGGACTTGACCATGGTAGTCCACGCTCTGGTTACATCCCGTTTAGACTACTGCAACGCTCTCTACGTGGGGTTGCCTTTGAAGACGGCTCGGAAGCTCCAATTAGTCCAACGGGCGGCAGCCATGGTATTAACAGGAGCGGGGCGCAGGGAGCATACAACTCCTCTGCTGTACCAGCTCCACTGGCTGCCGATTTGCTACCGGGCCCAATTCAAAGTGCTGGCGTTGGCCTTTAAAGCCCTAAACGGTTCTGGCCCAACATATCTATCCGAACGTATCTCGGCCTATCAGCCCACCAGGACCCTAAGATCTTCGGGGGAGGCCCTGCTCTCTATCCCGCCTGCTTCACAGGTGCGGCTGGCGGGAACGAGAGACAGGGCCTTTTCTGTGGTGGCCCCTCGGCTTTGGAATGCCCTCCCCATAGAGATAAGATCAGCCTCCTCGCTGATGGTGTTTCGAAAAAAACTGAAGACATGGATGTTTGAACAAGCATTCGGCTAATCCGGTGCAATGAAATTGATGATCAAGGACTGGTAATCACAGACGATGAAATTGGATTATGATCTTAGTTAAGAGATGCATTGGTCTGTATTGGTGGCCCAATATTGTGTATTATGTATGTGTTTTTATGCTTTTTAAACTGATTGTTGATTATTGTAGTGTTGTAAACCGCGTTGAGTCGCCAATGTAGGCTGAGAAACGGCGGTATACAAGCGCAGTAATAAATAAATAAATAAATAATAAATTCACTGCCATCTGCAGACTGAAGATCGTGGTAGAAAAACACAGGCATCTCTTTACCTGGCAAGGTTGACTCTGGCTTTCTGCCCTCCACTCAGCGTAACTCCTCTGTCTCCTATCACTGTTAGGTCTCCATCTCCCAATAATTCCATATCCTATTAAAAAGAGATGTGATACAATCACTGATGGGTAACACTATTTTCTCAATTGACTTGAGAAGCCCCATGTAGTCTTGTGCATTTGTATAGAATCACAATCTTTTTCTGTTTGTTTCATTCGTACGGCTCAACTTTCATTTTTGAGCACCTCTCCTGAAAACGGGCGCTTTTCGGAATAAGTTTTTTTGTCCAAGGTCTGAAAAAACGAATATTTTCAGCCATTGGCGACAATAGGTGGGCTTCCCGCACTCCCTTTCCCCTCAGTTTTGGGGCTAGCACGGTTTGGCCGTTGGGCCTGCTCGCCACACACACTCTCTCCTTGGAAAGAGAGAGCGTGTGTGGCAAGCAGGACCAAAGTGCCCGCGCCAGATGAGCACTGAAAATCAGCCGACTGAATGGTTACTGCTCCCATTTTCCTTTGTTTCACTGATATTTCCATACCAGAGGGGAGTGTTCTGAATGAACAAAATGGTACGAAAACAGATGAAACACTAACTGGGCCCATGACTAGTCCCATTCCCATATTGGATCGTAGTTGTAATTTTATTGTTAATATTAATTGTAAAAAGAAAGAATATTCTAATAGCTGGCAACTGTGAAAACTGGAAAAGTTCCAAAAAAAAAAACAAATGTGAAGAATTCATTGCAACTAACAAAACACTCATTGATTTAACAGGACTGGATGCAATGTATAAATCTCAATTTATGTTCAGTCTAATACTTACTGTCATCCAAACAATAGCTAAGACTGAATCTTGGTGTGAGTAAATGAAAATAATTATGTCCACAGCAAAACACGAAGGGGAGGGAGGCAGTCCTCTGTGTTGTCTTCCTGTAGTTCCTCCAGAATTTTTTTTTTCGTCTCAGGAGTGACGAAGTTGTTTCTGGTGTGAGAGAATTGGCCTTCTGCAAGGACGTTGCCCAGGGAACGCCCGGATGTTTTAACATCCTGTGGGAGGCTTCTCTCATGTCCCCGAAAGAGAACCTGGAGGTGACAGAAGCTCACCCAGCTCCTGGATTCAAACCACCTATCTTTCGGTCAGCAGTCCTGCCGGCACAAGAGTTTAACCCGTTGCGCAACCAGGGGCTCTTTCCCCAGACATATAACATTATGTAACATTATTTTTGTTCCTTTGTTCTAAGTGTCATCTCTTAATTGGTTCTGTCATAAAAATATGGAAAAAATCTATTGAACTGGAAAAAAAAGGGTTTTCAGGACCCCCTGAAGCACATTTTGTTAAAGTTTTTCAATTAATATTTCATCAAGCCTCAAGCAATTCAACAATTCAACATAATTTGTGGCAGCCACAAAAATGAAGTTTCTGAAATAGAACAACTAATTTCAAAATAAGTAGCTCATAATTAAACAGGAATAACACTTTCAAACCTGGAGCAGATTTTTTTTTCCAAATTTTGTTACATAGTGTAATCAGGAAATCAGGAAACACCAGGACATAAATTCAGGCATGCCGGGGGGGGGGGGGGGCGGGGGGTAGAATTCAACAAGGAGAAATGCCAAAATTTCAAGTTCTGTTAAAGAGGGAGTCACACAATCTTTAGCAGTCTATTTTTTATTTATCATCCATTGATGAATTCGGTCAATGTTCTTTGGTTTATAAAGGGGATTTAGATATAAATAATTCTCTTACAAAAATTAAAAAAACTACACTAACTATTATACATAACAGATGCCCCAAGTGGTGCAGCGGGTAAAACCACTAAGCTACTGAACTTGCTGACTGAAAGGTTGGCGGTTCAAATCCAGGGAGCAGGATGGGTTCCCGCTGTTAGCCCCATCTTCTGCCAACCTAGCAGTTAGAAAACATGCAAATGTGAGTAGATCAACGGGTACTGCTTCTGCGGGAAGGTAACGGCACTCCATGAAGTCATGTTGGCCACATGACCTAGGAGGTGTCTGTGGACAACGCCAGCTCTTCAGCTGAGAAATGGAGATGAGCACCACCCCTCAGAGTTAGACACAACTGGACTCAATGTCAAGGAAAACCTTTGCCTTTACCTTTTAACAGATTCTTACATCATGTTTATGTTCATTAATGAGAAAACATCATATGGAAGCAAATGTATATAGACAAAGGGGCTATCAACCTTGAAACACTATATTATTTTCTTTCTCTTTTAAGAAATACATTTCACATTTATTCTAAATTCACTAGGACTTGAATTCCTATTTCAGAAAGTGATGAATGTTTCAATATTACCAGACATTTTTAAAAAGAAAATGTCAACTGTGTTTAAAGAGGAAAAACTGTGATGTGCAAAAGCTTTTAAACTGTCTGCTTTTCACCTATCTTGGTAGTGATAGTGGGATCATAACATGCCATGAACTAGATACGATGCATAATACTTTTCAAGCTGCCAAGCAAAATATCTCTCCCTTGTCTAATCTGGCTTAGTGTCCTTTTAGATCGCACCTGCCAAGGCAAAGAAAAAGGTCTTCTCGGAGAGCGCTGCACTGCTCCGAAGCATTCTCTCAAGTAAGATGCCAGCAGAAGGAGGTGTCAACCCTAGCTATGTGCTCTGACACCTACTGCAATTCCCATCTTCATCCCTACAATAGTGCAGTGTCAACGCTCTCTTAACATGCATTTCTTTATTGTTGCAGGGTTAGGCTTTATATTTTGTGAGGTGCTTTCTTGTTTGGGCTTTTTAAAGAGCAAATGGATATGACTTGAAAGAATGAGATTAAAAAATGCATCCTACTGCAATTTATGTATGGTCACAGTAGGCGAAATATTCTGTTTGTCTATCCTTTGAGTTAATTCATACCAATCGTGTTTTTAGTGTTGATCTCAAATCTCAGAAGCTGTGGCATTCATCTGAAATCCAGCCTTTTCCAGATCAGGGAAGAAGGTGCTTACAGATTAAAGGCTTTCTTATCATCATAACAGGGCGCCCCCAGTGGCGCACTGGGTTAAACTGCTGAGCTGCTGAGCTTGTTGACTGAAAGGTTGCAGGTTCGAATCCGGGGAGCAGCGTTAGCTTCCGCTGTCAACCCCAGCTTCTGTCAACCTAGCAGTTCGAAAATAATGCAAATGTGTGATCAATAGGTACCGCCGCAGTGGGAAGGTAACAGCGCTCCATGCAGTCATGCCGGCCACATGACCTTGGAGGTGTCTCCAGACAACGCCAGCTCTTCGGCTTAGAAATGGAGAGGAGCGCCATCCCCAAGAGTCGGACATGACTAGACTTAATGTCAGGGGAAAACCTTTACCTATAATTATAACTATCCATTCTATTCTTTGCATGATTTTTTTGAAAAAAAGATGCTAATGTCTCACAGACAAGATGTTTTAAAGACAGGTATAAAAATATTATCTAGGTAGAGATACCGATAGAGACAGAATGAGCTACAGGGAACACAAAATGCCCCTAGTTTACAACAGTTTTGCTGATCAGTCCATTTTCAACGTATAGCCCAAAATACCTGGAAGACAGTGTTACCTTATACAAGCCTGTCTGAGTTTTGAGACATTTCCAGGGAACACTTTCTCCCACATCTGCAGATAAATTTATTCTTCAAAAGCACAATGAATTTTGGCTTTCTTTGGGAAAATTAATTACTGCAACAGCAGCACTTTCTGGAATCACAAATACAGTCTCTCAGCTGGAATAATAAGCAGCTTGTTCTCATAAGGTATTTTATTTCTTATTAGTGCTGCTAGTCGAGAGGGTGTATTTATATTTAATTAATGCCCTTGAAGTATCAATTCATGAAAGGCCGAAACACATTTGGCTTTTAAAGAATGAATTCTTAAAGAATTTAAGGCTGGAGAGACTATTCTTTTTTTTCCTCTTTTTTTTCTTTTTTGCAAATTCATAATTCGTGCCTTTCAGTATCTATTCTTTTTCCTCTTGTTCACCACTTTCACAGGTCTTTTTGGTAATGACATGAGAGACAGCTAAACTTGTCAGGTTGAAAACTGGACCGAACTCTTATAATTTCAACTCCAAACAGACTGAGAAGCAGGACAAAAGACCACAAAGCCTCCTGAAGCTGTATGAAGAGAGTGTCCTCCCTTAACTTTCAACCTCAAACTTTTAGTCACAGCAATTCCCTCCTAGCAAGGCCATGGTGAAGAACACAGAGAGGGAAGTGAAGATGTACCAAGCTCTGTTCTTTGTCGCTGGCACACACAGGCCCAAGAAAATCATTTTTTCAACTAAGAGTTAAAGGTCCATGCAGGAATAAATGTATACACTGCCACTGGCGAAGATTGTGCTTCAAAATGAATGTCCCTGGATCACATCATGCAAGCAAGCAGGAGAAATGAATACACACAATATACTTTGCTTTTCATAATGTATTGCATGAAGATTCTCTCTACACTAAAAAGGGAAGTTAAAAAATCTATTTAGATTGGTGTTTTTGACCAGAATCCTGTTTACTAGATTGTTATCTTAAAATCAGAGAACTCAGAGTGCATCTGCACTGTAAAATTAGTACAATTTGACACCACTTTAACTGTCATGGCTCAGTGCTATGGAATCAAGGGAGTTGCAGATTTAAAAGGTCTTTAACATTCTCTGCGAATCAGTACTTGTGACTCACCAAACTACAAATCCCATGATTCCATAACAAGGAGCTGCCCTTGAAGACGGCCCGGAAGCTTCAGCTAGTTCAGCGCGCGGCAGCCATGTTACTAACAGGAGCGGGACGCAGGGAGCACACAACACCCTTGTTGTTCCAGCTCCACTGGCTGCCGATCTGCTACCGGGCCCAATTTAAGGTGCTGGTGTTGGCCTACAAAGCCCTAAACGGTTCCGGCCCAAAATACCTTTCTGACCGCATCTCGGCCTATGAGCCCACGAGGGCCTTGAGATCATCTGGGGAGGCCCTTCTCTCGATCCCGCCTGCCTCACAGGCACGTCTGGCAGGGACGAGAGATAGGGCCTTCTCAGTGGTGGCCCCCCGGCTATGGAGCACCCTCCCTGTTGACATCAGACAGGCGCCCTCCCTTATGTCATTTCGTAAGAGCCTAAAAACATGGCTATTCGAGAAGGCCTTTAACTAAGTGCTATAACAATTGGCTGACGACTGGAACGGAATATGGATTATGAGATTGGTTTATGATTCTATGATGAGACGATGCGGATGATTTAGTTTAATTATATGATTGTGGTATTATTGATTGTTATGTAGATATTCGTGATGCTATGGCTTATTGTAAACTGTTTTTATATGTTGTACACCGCCGTGAGTCGCCCTAAGGGGCTGAGAACGGCGGTCAACAAATGCAATAAATAAATAAATAATAATAAATAAATTTGTACTCACAATGATCGCAAAGGTATTCTGTTTGATTCCTGTCATAGTTTTGTGTCCTGGCACATTAAATAAATACTATCCTGCATCACTACCAAAATTACTGAAAAAACAGTGCATTATAATTTTTCACTTTCACATAATGAAGCAAATTGGTTTTTTTAAAAAAAAATTGACCTGGACATCAGGAAATAGAACCCAAATTTATAGAGGAGGAAACAACTTACTTTTTTAAGGGCACAGGCTTTTAAAACCTTCTCATATCTGTCCTTGTGATATTCTTTTCCGAAGAGTATGTTATTTCGTACTGTGCCAGAAAACACCCATGGCTGCTGAGAAACGTATGCAATCCTTCCTTGAACGTCAATGAAACCTTTGCTTGCAGACAGTTCTCCAAGAATAGCACTTAAGAGGGAAGACTGAAAGACGTTAGGGAGAGAGAGAGAAGATAAAATGTAAACATTCATTGAGAGGGATATATATTCAACTTCTCCAGTTCTGCTTACCAACAGAAGTCATATTTGTAACCAAAACTATCAATGTTTCATTGCCTTTCCCCATTCTTCCTCTCTAAAACACTATGATCCTCCCCACTTTCTCTTCCTCCATTTGTCATAGCCACAATGAAGGCTTACATTGATACCTCCCATTTTGCCAGAGTTTTAAAGTTTGCCATTAGTTCCTTTTCCAGTCGTCAGTACAACTGTGAAACTGTATTTATGTTATTTTTATGGTTATGGAGCCTCACTAAACTGTGAAGTGTGACTATATCAAGATTTAAATGCTGGCTCATGATGATCAAATTACATTATATAAAATGGCATAGTAAAATAGTGTGCCTTATACAAAACGGCAAAAAAATCACACGGGTGCAGGAGGGAGCCTAAGGATCTGTGAAATGGCAGGAGGCGATAGTATGGCATGCCAACATACACAACAGTTATAGTGCCAATGTTGCAAAAGATTGGTTTTTTGGATTTTTTTCTCTGCATTTTCCAAGTTGCAGTTGATTTAATCTGTGAATGCTGAACCCATGAATGCAGAGGACTACCTTTACTCATCCTAGTTTGTCAAGTTGAAATACAGAATGATCCAGTCTTGTGCCCATACGTTCCACCCTCTTATTGTCAGTCACTGCTTCTTTCTTAACATGCTACCTTTGAAAGCTTCCAAAGTTACTCATGTTCAAATAAACACAGCAAACTGAATAAGAGCGAAACATTTGAAATCAATATCAAAACACCATTTTGGAACCTAAATAACAGAGTTTCTTAGTTCTTAGGGGAAAATGACCTAATTAATGTAGGAAATCTCCAACCAGGGTATGTCATTCAGAGAAAGAAAGAAAAAAGAGTATAGAGGGACCAAGTCAGTGTATATTTCAGTTTAACAAGTCAATACACAAAAATCAAGTTCTGGTCAAATGTTTCCTTTAACACAATACTACTTACCACAGAGTTCAGTACACTGCCAATAAGAACTGCACATAAGACATATCCAAAACAATTAGCATAATGCCATCAAAGACTATCTTGTATCAGCAATCTGATTTGTTGTAAATTTTGGAATTTAGATACCGCATATGTCGACTAATGAACTAAGAGACCACTAGTGGCCCTTGGGCAGACCTCATACTCGATGAGACAAACCAATGGTTAAGCTATTCAGCCAGCAATGGAAAAGAAAAGCACAGGATCATATATTTTGGTAAATAGTAGATTTGCGTGATGCCCAAAGGAGTGGCTCAATGGCAGCAAATCAGATAGGATAGGATATGTACCAAACACTATCTTTAAAAAAAAATGTTGTGAAAATACAGTTCTAAAGCAAGGATAGGAAATGTGTTGGATTTCAAAATACCAGCAGCTCAAACCCACATAGCCAGTTGGGGAGATGCCAAGAATTGATGTCCAATTTCAAGAGGATTTCATCTCCAATCCTCTTCTTAAGCAAGTGTGGGGAACTCTTGAGTCCCCAGATCCTGATGCTTCAATTATATCTCCAATTAGGTATGACTCCTATTAGATTTATCATTATCCAAGGTGGCTGAAACTGGTGATGAGAGAAGTTCAATGACATCAATCTACAAAAGTATAAAAACCTGGGGTCCATTGCATTCAGCTACAACAGAGCAGCAAAGGAAGACACTTGGCTCTTCCATTTTCTGCTTGCCTCAGAATTAGGAAACTGCATTTCTGTTGTTCCAACTACACTATCAATGTGGTCCAGAGCTGAAACAATAAACAATGACTAACTGACTGGCTGGTACTTTCCACAGTAAAATGTCGAGTTATGACTTACTTTTCCTGCTCCCACAGGGCCAATCACAATGAGTAACTCTCCCGGTTTGACAGTAAATGCAATGTTTTGAAGTGTAGGCATTTCCAGAGTCTATAAATTCAAGAAGAAACACTGCATCTTAATTGCAGCAAAGAGTATTGGGATCCAAATGGTACTGAATCCCATCCATGCAACATTTACTCAGCCTGTAGCTCTTTGGCCTCTTCTAGCCTGAGAAATCCACCAGCTTTTGTATGCTTGAATTTCTTACATTTTTTGTTTCAAACGTCATGGAACCTATCCATCATTTGTGTCCCCAAATTTCATTTATTTTCACTGTCTCTCTACATCATACTTGATTTAACGTTTCCCATTTCTTCTCATGCCCATGTGAATGAGAATGGAGCAATTGTAAAATCCATGATCCTTTCTTGGTCTCTCTAGCAAATTCCCTTTACTGAAATCTTATACATATGACTCCTTAATTCAGGATGGGCAGTTTCATTAGGTCCAGGGATCAACTCAAGATGGGGCAACTTGACTCGATCCCAAAGCATCCAACCCTCTCAACAACTATGCTCAACATGAAAATGGTCAATCAGAGACCCAGAAGCCTATATAGACTTGATATTGGCCTCTCAACAATTATGGGGGGGGGGGGGGAATCTTTCAGAAAGAAAATTACAACCAGACTATGTAAACATAACTGTTCATTTACTGGCTCTTTATTTATTCTTTATTTATTTACAGTATTTATACTCCACTCTTCTCACCCCAAAAGACTCTTAGGACAGATCACAGAACATACATATGCAGCAAACATTCAATACAATTTTTATACACAACTAGATAGACAATTATACATAGATAAGAGGTATATATATATTGGCTTTCCCCAGCTTTCAGGTATCTTGGAAAGTGTTGTGCTCGGTTCCAACCACAGGGAGGGTGCTGTCGCTCCATCTCCCTGCCGAAGAGCTAGTTCGTAACTTCCTCCTTTGGACTGAATCGCCAGCATTCCTTCTGAGTGCCTCGGAATACTTCCCCCACTTTTTAAATGAGCGGTACCTATTTATCTAATCACATTTTTGCATTCAAACTGCTAGGTGGGCGGAAACTGAGCTAAGGCCAGGAGCTCACCCTGACCAGGCTTTGAACTGGCAGCCTTTTGACTGACAAGCTTAACTACAGCTCATATTTAACCTGCTGTGCTAAAGCCAGCCCTTTCACCAGAGATAGACATTTGTGGGAATTGAAACAGCCTTATTCAAAGCAGGAAATTATACATTAGGTAAAGTCAAAGGATTGGAAGGCTTACAGTATGGCGTGATATGTCATGTGGCCTAAAAGACACACTTTCCCCACCTCAACTTGCACATATTACAACTAAAATAAAATGTGTGCAATTGAAATGCAAATGTATTCTTCCCCATTCTGACCTTACCTCCATTTCCCCGTGTTTTCCTTTGGAGTTTGTATGTTTCTGTTTTATAAATTTAGGTTGCATATGTATTTTTGTACTATTCCGTTTACAAAGATGGACCTAAGACACATATTTTTACTGAAATAAGCAGGACTGGTTTTAGAGATGGTGGGAGTGAGGCTGATTTGTATTTTGTCTTTCTCCCAAAATTGGGGCTCAAGCTGGCTTACAATTTTAAAACAGCTAAAAAACATACACAAAGTGAACATTAAAACTCGATTAAAAGTTTGACTATTAAAATGTTTTAAATGAACCAAAACCCAATATGCCATGATTAATCATGGTGAATCCATGGTCAGTGGAAATAAGACCATACACTGATATTTCATTTCATTAACAATAGTAAAGACTAACAGTATTTAGTCAATTTTGAATTACTCAACATGCCACAGTCAATAAAAATTACAAACTTCTATACTGCTCTTTATAGTCACATTGGATAAAGTATCTCCTTCTTAGAATACTAAAGTATGAGTTGACGTTATGGCTCAACCAGCCCAATGGTTTCTCTTTACTAGCCACTAAATACTTGATTGAGCGATGTCAATACAACTATTCAAAAAATACAGGCCTTCAACATAGAACAATATGTCATAAATGGCTTTGATTTGAGGGAATACTGGCCTTCTTCAGCACTATATATAAAATATCCACAAGATGGCAGCAAGAACACGTTTTTAAACCAGTTGCCAGTTCAAATAACACACAATCCATCTGTCTGAACACCATCTTTGTGCTTTCTGCTCTGATCAAGTACTGACTACATGGGAAGTATTCCAGTCTCAGCCAAGTAAGAGAGCAATCCAAATATAATTGAATCATTTGAGAACAGAGCAAAAAGAGTAACCAAGAATGCCTTTCAAGATGAGAAAACACGCCAAGCAATACACCATATGCTCGGCAAAGTGGTGCCCAAACAAAACTTCAATAATTGGCGGCACTGCCTTCTCATGCTTGCCTTGTATAAGTAAGCAATCAGGGAATAATGAATGTCAACATACAAAAGCTTCCACTTGCTATATTTCCAAAGGCTGTGCTGAGTATGACATTCTGAGAGCTGCAGTCCAATAGTGAAACTTCTCCAAACTTTGTCACAAACAAGAACAGTGCACACAAATCCACTTAGATCAACAACCCAGGTATATTTTTGTAGGCCCACATCCCCTGCTTTAAGGAACACAACATCACTGATGGTAGGAGTTCTCCTTTTTGCATTTCCTGACCTCAGCCAGAACCCTTATAGACTTTTCTTTTATCCCTGAATTCTACCCACAGGCTTCATTTGGGCTACAACCCTCTGTCAAAAACCCCATCAAAATGAAAAACCACAAATAAAAACGGCTATTTTTTTCATCTGAAAAAAACAGCTCCCTTGGAATTTTTAGGTCCTCCAGTACGACTATATGGTCACTTTCTGCTGGAAGCTGGCCATGGATTCACCCTGCAGGATCTAGAGATTCCTAGAGAGAAAGATTCCTTGATGGGAGAAAGTTGATCATCAAGTTGAATACTCTAATCAATTCCATGAATAAACAAATCTGCAAAAGCCAAACCCACAGAAGTGGGGGGCCAACTTTATAAACATTTTTACAGAACCCATTCCATTGAATGGCACTATTACTCATTCAATGTGAATCCAAAACATAAAGCAACTCCTGTATCTTTCCAGAGTCCAATTACAGGATGCCATTCCACTCAGATCAGACCAATATGACTTTGTTTAGCAAGTGAACTCAGAAAAGACTATCAACTTCTCCAGTGAATGGAGTCACAATTCATCACCATCTTGACTGTTTTGGTCCAAGTGTTTCAAACACTTTCCTAAATGTTATTCCAATAATACTACCTTGTTTTTCATGTATATTATTAACTTTAATTCCTTATATTTTACTTTGCATTGACTTTATGATAATCCTCTGCTGCTGTTACGATATTGTCTATATTACATTCAGTTTTGGGATATAATTGTCTGTTGTACACTGCCTGTGCTCTAGTTACATGGTTTACTTATTGACTTTGGAAGTTTTGGGTTAAGAATTCTCTTATTTTGTGGACAATTATTTTCCAAATATTATTGTATTTACACTCACTTCTTTGTTTGGCTGGACTACTTTTCTCCCTGTTTTGTTTTGCATATTTTTTGAGGACTGGCTGTAGTTTTATAGTGTTAAACTCATAAATGCTACAGTATTATATCTGTGTTTGATGGGGAGATGAGACAAAAAGCTTTGGAAGTAATGTAAAAGAAAGAAACTTCTATTTTAAAGGCAAGGAAAAGCTGTAAGAGGATCTGCCATGAAAATTTGTAACTTCATCCAGCTGCCCTAGTATATGACTCCTTTTTTGTAGGTTGGGAAGGAGGTCCATTTCTAACTGATGAATATTCCTGCACATGGGTTGCTGTGAGTTTTCCGGGCAGTATGGCCATGTTCCAGAAGCATTCTTTCCTGACCTTCTGCCCACATCTATGGCAGGCATCCTCAGGGGTTGTGAGGTCAGTTAGAATGATGTCCAGGGTGGGAGAAAGTACTCTTGTCTGTTTCAGACAAGTGTGAATGTTGCAATTGGCCACCTTGATTAGCATTGAATAGCCTTGCAACTTCAAAACCTGGATGCTTCTTGCCTGGGGGAATCCTTTGTTGGGAAGTGTTAGCTGGCCCTGATTGAATCCTGCACAGTTTGGCTGGAACAGTTTATACTAACACATTTGCTTAATATAACATTCAATGCTGCCTCTAATAAAAATGCTTACTATGCTGGAGTATGAAAAAAGGCATTACCTTGTCCCAGTAGCAAGTCAAATCATGCACAGCAAGAGACAATTCATTGTTGATTTTGAGCTGTGGGGTGAGCTGAGAAACTTCATCAAGGATCAGAAAGTTCTGTGCCAAAGGAGAGAAAAAGCATAAAGACCACATAAAGGGGAAAGGAAAATCATCCAAAATCTCTCTTTAAATTAAATTAACCAAATCAATTACTATAATCTCATTTGTGATGCATTCCCTATGACATACACCAGAAATGTAAAGATAGGCAATTCTGTGAGTTATAGTCCAAAAACGAACTAGTAGATAAACTAATTCAAGGACAAGGAAATGGAGAGTCCAACCATCTTAATAATAACACTAACAAAATGGGGGAAAATGTGATTTCCCAGTTTGAAAGTATTATTCCTATTTAATCGTGCAGTACTTACTTTGAAAGCAGTTGTTACACAGAAACTTTTGTTTTTGTGGTTGCCACAAACCATGTTGAATTGGTTGAGACTCTTACCAAATACTCATTGATAAACTATAGCAAAATGTGTTGCAGGATGTCCAGCAAAAACAAAGTTTTTGCAGTTTAATAAGCTTTCCCCAAGTTTTTATGATAAAAACAAATAGGAAATGACATATATAACCCAGGAATAAAAATCGTATTACATAATTGTGGTGGTGGTGGTGTTGGAGGAGAAGGAAGAAGAGGAAGAAGAAGAAGAGAAGGAGGAGGAGGAGGAGGAGGAGGAAGAAAAAGACGATGACCTCTCTGACTTGGTTGGACCTGCTGGTAGTTACACCACCGCCAGCACAGCTCTCAGCATCCTTGGAGCAGTTAAGCCCCCCACCACAACAAGGTGGAACCCATCGGGGGAATATTATTATCATTTTAAGTACAAAAAAAACTGCACTACAAACCAGAGCTGACAGCTGGCACAACAAAGCATTGCATGGGCAGTTTGGGAAATTGAAGGAAAGGTTGATAAGGAGAGGCTCATGAATGGAACCCTGAAGAAGGAGACAGAAGGCCTGATTCTTGCAGCCCAGGAGCAAGCCATCAGAACAAATGCAATTAAGGCCACGATTGAAAAATCAGCTGATGATCCAAAATGCAGACTGTGCAAGGAAGCTGATGAAACCATTGATCATATCCTCAGCTGCTGCAAGAAAATCACACAGATGGACTACAAACAGAGGCACAACTCTGTGGCCCAAATGATTCATTGGAACTAATGTCACAAGTACCATCTGCCAGTAGTAAAGAACTGGTGGGATCATAAACCAGCAAAGGTAGAGGAAAATGAACACGCAAAAATACTGTGGGACTTTTGAATCCAGACTGACAAAGTTTTGGAACACAATACACCAGAAATTATGATTGTGGAAAAGAAAAAAGTTTGGATTATTGATGTTGCCATATCAGGTGACTGTAGAACTGATGAAAAACAACAGCCGTTATCAGGACCTCAAAATTGAACTGCAAAATTGAACGATCTGTCAACTGCAAAAGGCCACCTTACTTGAATCTGCGCACATAATTCAAAAGTATATCACACAAAGTCCTAAACGCTTGGGAAGTGTTCAACTTGTGATTTTGTGATACGAAATCCAGCATATATATCTTGTTTGTTGTGACATACTGCATTTTTGTGTCAGTAAAATAATAATAATAATAATAATAATAATAATAATAATAATAATAATTTTATTTCTAACCCACCTCTCCTTGAAGCTTTGTATTAATACAGTATGTCAATCATTTGTAATCCACTTGCATGAGAGCCAGTGCAATGTAGTGGTTTAAGTGTTGGGCTACAATTTTGGAAACCAGGGTTGAAATTTTGACAAGGTTTGCTTTAGGTTCACGCTAAGTCAGTAACAACTTGGAAGTCACACAACAACAGTTAGAATTTCCCAAAGTTCACTTATCACATCTGTATCTCAAAAACTTCAGATGACCATAGTGAGGACAATTGTTGATATTGTTCAAGTCATACAAATAGAATTAAAAAAATAGCTCTATTGTCATTGTGCTATTGCACAGCGAAATTAAATGCCTTCCCCAGCGCACACCACAAAACAACACACCTGTCCCTTCATACCCCAGCCACCACCACACAGCCCCCAATGCCACATCAATGCGAAACCATGGAGTTCAACACACTCACAGCTCTAGGACATAAGCTATCTCTATGTCTGCTTGTCCTTGTGTTTGTCACCTTGTACCATCTTCCAGATGGCAATAATTAAAAAAAAATATATGCTGGGTGAGATGGATCCACAAGAATCTTCTGAGCTTTCTTAAGGCTGCAGGACTTATAAAGTTCTTCCAAAGAGGGGAGAGGACAACCAATGATTCTCTGTGCACAAGTGGTGACCCTTTGGTGCACCTTCCTATCTACCACTGTGCAGTTATCAAACCACGAGCAGATGCAGTAGGTTAGTACACGGTACTTTAAAGTTTAGACTTCAATGGACCATGAAGAAAACCATATAATCCTGATTTGGAAAATCGTAAAAGATATTTCACAGATCACACACACTGAAATCAAATTAGCTAAAACCATTCTTATATGTAAAGTTATCTGAAGCAAAGTGCCAAATACTGGGAATTTCGTGAATTAAAGGACTCCCAGAAAGAAACATTGCTATTGAGAGGACCAAAGCAATGACATTTCAATAAGAATTACTACTGGTGTTTAGCTCTTTTTAATTATGATTTTTAAACCGATGATACAAAAAGGTCAGGCTACAGTCCTATGCACATTTTCAAGAAGCCCCACTAACTTCAATCGAAGTTACATGTCTGTGAGACTGGCACAAAAACTAACATAGGTATAAATTCTGCTTTGAAATGGGATAAGAAGTTGTGAATTATTTGAAATGCTGCAAATAAATACACCCACAGATGTCATTTGGGGAGTGTCAATACCTTTATTCGTCGATTGCTGACCAATGCTTCGGACACTTTCTCAATAGCCGCCGGGAAGAAGAGAGTGACCGTCAATCTTACGGTTGAATACAGCGACACTGCAACAAATACTCGGCTTGCAGTGATGACATTGCCAAGTAAAACGTAGGTCATGAATGTCATGAACATTGTTATTTTGCTGGCAATGAAGAAAGAGGCCAAGTTCATTCCCCGAAGGTAAGAGCTCTTAAGAACCATGGAAATCTCCTTTCTGAAATTATAAAATAATTATTGATATAAGATTATTGCATCTTATCTTCACATTCACACAAAAATCTGCTGTGCTAATATTTTTATATATAATCAGTATATATACTGGTAGGAGCTACTGGTAACTGCAGGATCACGAGACACCCATCTAGTTCAGGTTATTAAAATAGTTAGAGGTGACAAAATCACTAAAATATAAAATTAACTGAAACAAACAATCACCTTCTGATGCTGCTGACAAGATCAGCAAATGATTTCTCCCAGGCATACATCTTTATGATCCGCATTCCAGCGATGACCTCATTCATGGTCCGGATCCTCACATCTGTCAAGGCTGCGGTCCTGCTCCTATAATTTAAAAAATGAATATATATATTAAAGCCCCACGTTGGCAATCTTCAGGAGGAACCTGAAAACCTGGTTATTCCAATGTGCCTTCAGTGATTTAATGTAAGATACTCCCTGACCAAATTTCGCATAAATAACCTCAGAAGCACTTCATTTTATGGTTCGTGCAATTAATTCCTTCCTCAACCCGGATCTCCCTCCCCAATAATTTCCATTGCCCAATCTCCCAGTGTTTTAAAATTTTTATCTTAAATTTGGCCCTGCCCCGTGTAATCCTGTGTGTCTAATGCCCAATTTTATACTGCTGTGTCGCTTATTATATTGGTTTTGCATTTTATGTTTTTTATGTTCTAGTTCTGTTATGCTTTGGTGTTATACTGTGTTATGCTTTTGTGTAATATTGTGTTGACTGTACTGATGGGCGTGGCCTCATGTAAGCCGCCTCGAGTTCCTCTGGGGGAGATGGAGCGGGGTATAAATAAAGTATTATTATTATTATTTGCATGTTTTCAAACTGCTAGGGCTGACAGCAGGAGCTCACGGCGCTCCCCAAATTTGAACCTGTGACTTTTCGGTCAACAATTTCAACAGCTCAGTAGTTTTAACCCACTGGACCACCAGGGGCTCTTTTTGTTTGATAACTTCACACTATTTAAAATTAGGTTTATCGCTGAAAGGGAGATATAAAGTTAAAAACCCGGTTTTCAGGTAGATAAATGTATTTATTATTAAAAAGATAAAGAGAAAAAATATTTAAATAGTTTAATGTTCCACAACGCAGGGATTTTCTTTGCAATAATACCTATCACAACTCAGTCCTACCAGGTATTAGAAGCTGGATAAAAATGTTTTACATTACGAGATTTACCTAAAGTAGGCATTTAAATTTGTATTGTCAAAGGCTTTCATGACTGGGATCACTGGATTGTTGTGAGTTTTTCAGGCTGTATGGTCATGTTCCAGAAGCATTATCTCCTGACGTTTCACCTGGATCGAGTCATACAGGTGAAACGTCCGGAGAGAATGCTTCTGGAACATGGCCATACAGCCCAAAAAACTCACAACAACCCATTTTAATTTGTGTTTGGATGGGAAGACTAAGTTGTTCTACTTCTCTTTTTTTCTGATAAGAAAGCAATGTGCTGGAGCAAAAAGAATTCTGAACTGAAGAGACCAGAACACAGCTCCAATACACAGCCTTAAAGATAAATTGATAACACCGTCCTTTGGTCTGAAAGGTTTGAGGGAGCACAAAAATCAGACTATACAGCCTACATTGCCCTCGGCAATTTTAGAAAAGAATTCAGTATGTGCAGTAATGTGACAAAATTGACACTAAAAATAGTTTTAAAACTGCCTTGACCTTTACAAATAGATAAAAACATGTCACATATTTTTACAACAAATGCATACAATGTTATATAATTGGTGATGTGATGATGCTAGCGAATATAAAAATCTCCTCTGTTTATTCAGAAATCCTGATTAACCCACAGTTCTGCAGTTCAATCTATAATTACTTTGATTTTTTTTCAAGGACGCAGAAATACTGCATTAATCTGATAAAGCTGCTGAAAACTTCCTTCATTCTAGGGAAGATTCTCCAAGTCTTGTGAAAATAATATTCCTAAAGAAACCACTAGGATTTCTATTAGTGAGATCAGTGGTGAAGGTATTAGGAAAGGGTGTCCTTAAGTTTGATGCCCAGTTTGTGTTTTGGAGCTTGACAATAATGGAATGTGCAAATAATAATGGGCTAGATCATCATCATCTCATGATGAACGAAGTCCAATAGGAATGAGCCACTGGGTTGAGACTAAATGGGTCTGTTTCTCTTGATCAGATCAGTTCCCACTGCACTTCTCTTTTATTCATCCAGTCATAAGGATCCTTCATTTCTATACGCACCCCTTAATGCTCAAGGCATCACATCATCTGGATCATTTCTACAGCCTGGGAGCCTTGGATTGGAATCAACCAGGTCTGCCAAATGTTTAATATTTCAGAGGTCAGCTAAGCGAAAAGCACTTGGATTAGGAAAAAGACGTAATACATCACTTACAATGGTTCTAAATCTATGGGTCCCCAGGTATTTTGGCCTACAACTTCCAGAAATGCCAGCCAGTTCTTCAACTGTTGGGATTTCTGGAAGTTGAAGGCCAAAACATCTGGGGATCCAAAGGTTGAGAACCACTGCTTTAACAAAAAGCACATTCCAATATCTGGAAAAAGAAGAGTAATGGCCAAGATCCCACAACAAGGAGACAAAGTGTAAGTTTACACTCATGGAGTTATGAGACAATTTTGCATTCATGAATCACACCACTTTGCAAAGTAATGTACAAACAAATGTGAGATGTACAATTGCAATGCAAAATGGATTATCTACATATGCAAAGTACAAGGTCATCCCATGTGGGTTCAGTCCTGCTTCAATAAATGTCAACTGAATATGACATCACACTTTGATCCAAACTCTTCCATTATTATGTGTAAGGGACATACAGATGTATAAATCACAGGATGCCAGCCCAACTTTACACTCAGTAACACTGATTTGGTCTTACTTTAAAGTAGACTCTTAAATTAGCTATCAATAACATCACTGAATAGCACGCTAGCCATCTGTATGCACTAGTTGAAACGGAGGGCTTGGGGCGCTTCCGCACAGCCCTATATTCCAGAAGATCAAGGCAGAAAATCCCACATAATCTGAGTGTGGACGCAGATAACCCAGTTAAAAGCAGATATTGTGGGATTTTTCTGCCTTGATATTCTGAATTATATGGCTGTGTGGAAGGGCCCTGAGTGTATTTTATGAGTCTTACAACAAGGCGTGTATATCCTATGGTACATCTTTGTTCAAAACAGATCTTTACAAACATGCATGCCAATTGAAAAAGCAGAAGTTTACTTATCCAGAATTTCCTTACTCAATACTTCAAAATCTATTGATCATTCAAAAAATGAAAATTACTACTAATAGTTCCAGCACTTGTTCTCCTTCAAGTCAGAGGATTCGTAGTTATGGGTCCTTTTTAGAATGACAGTAAGACTCCGGTATTTGCAGAAAACATGTACCCAACTGGATTGCAATTATGTAAAACTGTGGATATGACTGGACACCATTAAACTACCTTGATTTCCAGTTCCAGTTTACTATATAATTTTGTTGGAAGACCTAGAGATTCCTAGGGAGCTATCCTCTCTAACAATTTGCTAAGTCCTCCAAAGCAACACTATGATAACTTCAAAGGGAAGCATACAATAAAGTTACCTGGAAGACCTTACAAATTGCGAAAGAAACTATTTTTGCCTGGGTGCAAGTGAGGGCGACCATGGATATGGATGACAATTGCAACAGTACTGTTATGGAACTATAAAGCACTCTGAAGCAAATAAAACGTGAGATATCCAAGCCTTATACCTCAGTGATGAGAACAACTTTCCAAGGAGGGATTGCAAAGGAAGGAGAATGATCAAAACAGCCATTCCTGCAAGGCACGCAGGTCCAATTTCCATCCAAAGAAGTACAGATATGGCTGTCACTTGAAGGGGCGCAGCCCATAGGTAATGCAAGAAAATAGTCACCTACACAAAGAAAAAACTGCACATGAAACAGGAGTCAAACCAGCTTTCAGCATGAATTGAAAGTGATGGCACTACTCAGTGATTACAATCTCCTTTCACTGAATCACTGAATTGGAAGAGACCACCAGGGCCTTCTAGTTTAATCCTTTGCCATACACCATCAAAGCACTTACATACACAAGCAGATCTCCTAGAAACGGGAGCCAAGTCCAAACATGAAATTAATGCCTGAAGGTCATTTATGCACAATATTTATAATACTTTTGTGTATAAAACAAACTTTGTTTACACTGAACCATCAGAAAGCAAACTTGCCATTATCTCAGCCATCCATGTGAACCATTTTGGAGTATTTCAGATTTCCAGATAAGAGATGCTCAAGCTGTACTGCATTGACCTCTTTTTTGTTTTGTTTTGTTTTTCAACTTAACTTGCTTTCTCCCACCCTCTTTTGTTTCCCAGACTTGGGTTTGTACTCCATAACTTTTAATTTTATCTTGAAGAAATACACATTCAGGCTTGTTCCAAAATGTTTTAGTCACAGCTGAAATAAGCACAGTGGACACATACTTCCTTATTTACTACTGTGGCATGTTATTCTTTTAGGAAAACTGTAAAAATGCTTGTTAAACAACTGTAGCAGTGCTGAATGTCCAGCTGCATTCCTATAGTTTGACACTGAAGCATCATGTAGGTGTTGTATACCTAGATATAGGATATAACTAGGATAATAAAGTACAGCAGATAAACAGAAAGATCTTAGTCTACTAGTGGAATCAAGAGTGAAAGGGGAAGCCTAATCTATCATCGAAGGGAGTTCTGCAGCCTGTGAGCAACTTCCAAGAAGCTTATTCTGATAAATGTTTTGCATTGATTTTCAGTCTCTTGCACTCTAGGTTAAACCTTTGAATAGTAACATGTGGTGTGTAGGAATACTGGAGCAGGGGATCATGCATCTTACCAGCTCTGAGCAGTCCTGATGAATATCCTCCCCCCACCCCTATGTCTTTCCATTCCATAGTGAAGGATTTAGCTTCCAGTATTTCCTGCTTATAGTCTTCAAGGCACCAAAAGTTCAGAAGACTACATGATCTTGTTGTCCCATCCTTATTACTAAAAGCCTAAGATAGCCTCAATGCACTATCTGTCATACAAAATATAGTCTGTCTCAATACCAAGAGGGCCTTCTCAGCAGGCTAAGGCACATGTATATACACCAGGAATCTTGATAAACAATCGGTTTGTAATGCCAGGACTTGTCCATGAAGCATGTGATAGAGCAACAACACTGATTCACTAGAGAATCAGAAAATTTAATTAAAATAACTACTTATCTGAGGTTGGAATATTTACTTTTTTGAAAACCAGTTCCAAGAAGCTCATACCACCATGAATGGTCATGTTGTCTCAGGGGCCTATGACATGATTAAGGCACAAACTGACAACAACAATGCTATATTAAACTCTATACTCATGTATAAATCAACTTCAAGAGCAGGGTTTGGAGCCGAAATTATGGATTTTGATATAACTCATTGAAAAGTTAAGGATCAACCATGGAGAGAGAAAAGCACTAATGCCACCTGTGGAGGCCAGCTGCTTCTGGCTGCCACTGCCACTTCCCTGCCCAGGCATTCAAAAAGGGCAGAAATGGCACCATGGTAGAGGCAGTAGCGGGGGTTGGTACTTCTTTGAGCTTCTCCCAGGATGAACTAAGCTCTTCCCTTTGATCTACTTAGAGATAGGGACAGGTCTCTTTTTGATGAGAGTTAAGGCATAATGTTACACTGATCTGTGGATAAGTCAGCCGAGTTTTTAGGGGTTGATCTTTTTTGACTAAAATATCTAGACTTATAGGTGAATATACAGGGTAATTAAAATTCGCTAACAATCCAAGAACCCCTTCCTCCTGTTACCAAGTACCACTGTGCCAAACGTGGATGAATTGAAAGCTCTCATAGAAGTTTTCAGAAATTGGGATATTTTTACAGCACTCAAGATCCGTTCAAAAGGCAACTCAAACCATATGAATAAAGTTTGCCAACAATAAAGCCTTATTTAGACCACATTCTGCACACCATCCCTTTTACCACATACACCCTTCAACTTTTTGGATTTCATACTTCACTGAAATCCATGATCTATCAAAGAACGGGTTCTTTAAGACAACAGTGCCTGAAGCAAAAATGTGGCCTTATTTTGCACTTACACACAGAGATTTTTTTTTTAAGAAAACCTATTAACTCATCCTTTGCAGCCAAGAAACATAAACTGTTATCCAGAAGAATTCTGGTTAATTGTCCACAAACAAAGGTGAGTATCAATGGAGCTTACCTGATCGTATTTATTCACATCATTTGACAAAAGGTTTACAATTTGACCAGTTGTAGTTTTTCCCATGGCTGTATTACTCAGACGAAGTGCCTAAAAAGAAAGAGGGAAAGTGCCTGAAAGTTATACTGTGCAATATTTTAATAGCAACATTTTATAGACTGCCAAAGCCATGATTTTATAAGTTGCAAAAAAATACCCTTTTTGACCTATATCCATCAAGCATCACTTCTTGCAGACCATGTAAGACACAAGTGTCTCAACTAAAAGTCTGCGGGTCAAATCCGGCCCACCCTGTAATTTTATGTGGCCTCCAGATACTGGACTACAACTCCCATATTCCTCATCATTAGACATCATGACTAGAGCTGATAGGAACAGTGATACAGCAACATCTGGAAGGCGGCAGTTTGTTCTGTTTTGTCAGAATAATGGGGTTTGAATTTAGATACAAGGATATGATGTCTGGCTTTAAAATGCCCTTTAACTTTTCCCAACCTCAGAGTCACATGTGCTGTTAGGCTGCAATTCCCATTATCGCCAGTCTGCATGATGGACAATCAAAATGATGGGAGTCATTCTAGGGGCCCAAACTGGAATAAACAAAATAGCACCAATCAGGTTGTAAAAAAATAGAACTGGTCTCCATCCATTGATTCAAAGCAACTAAGGCAACCATAATGCGGAGATGGCGCTCAATTAAAATAAGTGACACCCCTAATGTAAGAGGATAAATCAATTACTTTTCCACCAAAAGCAAGGTCCAAGTTTAGCTAAGAATTTCAACTGAGAGAGAAGACAAAGGTGGGAACTCTACTCATGCCTGCAATAATATTAACTATGCCAACACAGATAGCGGCAGCAGAAGATAGAAGGCCATGGAAACTGAGCCAGAGTTGCTAGGTTCTCCAATGCAACTGTACAACAGCTCCTGAAGGAAGCATACAATAAAACTGCCTGTCCCAGATAAGTGAAACAATTAGAGAAACAAGATGATCAGAGCCAATATGTTGTGTGTGTCTTCTCTAATCACTACTGTCCAACCTCTGAAAAAGTGCAACCACAGCATGGAAGGAGGAACATAATGCACAAAGAAAACATTGCTCAAGATTTGGAAGCCACCCTGAGTCTCCTCGGGGAGAGAGGGAGGGTAAAAATAAAGATTATTATTATTATTTCTTCTTCAGAGCAATCCCAGGCAAGCCGGGGCCAATAATCCTCATGCAAGAATATGAATGACTATATTGTTTAAGGGGGCTTTCTCCAAACCGTGTATGGAGGGAAGAAATCATCTTCCTCCACAGAAGACCACTTGCAAACTGCAATAATGCAAACTACAATGTTTCAGGTGTAGATTCAGGCCTGCTTTTTTGTTGCTTATTGTTCTAATCTATTTGCACAGGCAATATAACATTTATTTAACAAAGGATGACGATTTATTTCTGTAAATATTTATATCCTGCCGTTAACTTGATGCTCTCAGAGCAGTGTGCCATAACATCAATCTTAAACAACTGAAAGCAGTAAGGATAATTTTAAAAGACTAAAAGTATATCAAGTCATACCACTATCACTATCAAGGGAGAAAATGAAAAGAGTGACTCCAAAATACAAGAAATAATTTTAAAATAATAATACATGAATTTCTCAGCGACAGTAATGTTTCTGCCTCTCTATTTTGCTCCAGCGTGGAAGAGAAATTCTTCACAAAATTCACCCTCCACTTCTGGCTTCTACTTGAGAAACCAGAATAAGTTTTCCCCCAACACAGCTATAACACCAGAAACTATAAAACTGCATTATTACAGCTTGGGCTACCTTGTTCTTTTCTAAGCTGTTTTGCATAAAATGAAGGACAAGACGTTCGAGATTTTCTGTTTGCACTGACCTCATGGCAATGCTGCCATAGCAATTCTTTTGAGATGAAAACTTCTTACTGTACAGATTGACACAGTGGTGTATTGTCTCAATACTCTCAGTACAGCTGAATATGCAGCTGAGGAACACCATGTACTTCCAGTCCTTGCCTTCCAGGTCATCCATAGGAGACAATTTCCCCACATAATTCACTCTAGTCAAGTTCCTGCATATATAAATCTCCTGTTTGTTCACAAAGTGTACTACCTACCTTACGATAAATCATATGGCACATGGCTACTCTCAGCTTCATGCCAGCCCGTTGCACGTGATAGAAATACAGGTGATGAGAGATGGCCAAAAGAATAGTACACAGAGACAAAGCTGCTGCAGAGATGTAGGCATATTTCAAAGCATGCTCGTCGTCATTGAGGGTGCCAATGTTTTCAAAATAAGCAATCATCATTCCCAGCAACACTGGTTGAATAACATGGAATGCTTCCTAAAGAGGAGAAAGAATAAGAAAAAAAGGGAGTGGGGGCTTTTAAGAAAGTGCAACAAACCCCTTCCACATATCCCGTGTTTGCAGGAATAAAGCCAAAAGCAACAAAAGCTTGGCTAAGTAGGACACGACAGCTCTAAGATCCAAAACTAGAAACATGTGGTTCACAAATCAGTTTCTTTGTCACTATGGTGTGATCCTAGCTCTCTCACACACATACTTATTCTTTTTCTCAACATTATTTGCCAATATGTGAGGTGTCCACACCACGTCATAAACTGCCAGGCAAGTGCAATTTGCCCAATTACTCAGCCTTCTCTTGGAAGTCTGCTTTACACATGTAAAACTCAAGCAGAATCTTGTACCTACATGTTGCCCTATTTCAGGAAAATATTTGTTTATGCCCAATGTTCCAAATCCCTCTTTTGCCTTGAAAGACATTGTATCTGGTCAGTGAAAGACCTCACAGTAAAGAAGCAGAGCAATACACTATAACTGATGTTTCCAAAGTCATTGGCTAGTAAGCGAAAACAATCTGACAAAAGAGGAGGTCCTTTCAGTGAGTCTAAGGTTTTTCTCAGGCCCCATCTACACTGCCATATAATGCAGTTCCAGAATACAGTTTAGCTGCATTGAATTGGATAATATGAGTCTACACTACCATATAATGCAGCTCTATGCATTCTGAAACTCTATTACAGGCAGTCCCCAGGTTACAAACAAGATAGGTTCTGTAGATTATTTCTTAAATTGAATTTGTATGTAAGTTGGAACAGGTAATTTTTTAAGCATACCTCCAACCACATGTGTGTGTGTTAACTTTGGATAGCATAGGAAAGGGTTAACACCTTTTTTGCTGTCTGTACCACCATCCAGAAGATTTCAACTCACTTTCTGTCCCTGTGATAACTGGTTTTTGAAAAGGTTGGGTTTTCGAGGAAACGATTGGTGATAAACCTTTGGTGGAGACACCTTTTCCTCATGAAGTGAATTTCCCTTCCTTGGGGTAGATTTCTTCCTGTTGCCTCAACCCTGTTCTTAACTATGAGTCATTTCAAAGTCATATGTTTGGAACTTGGGGACTGCCTATATATGGCAGTATAGCTGGGGCCTCAGTGTTTCAGGAAGAAGACAATCACCTTCTATCACTGCTGCTAAATCAAAAGTTATTGGGAGAGGGATTCAGATGTTTTCAGCCACACCTCCCCAAACTGCTGACTACTGGCCATATTGGCTCAGGCTTGGAGGAGCCAAAACATCTGGAAAGCCAAAAGTTCCCCATCCCTGAGAGTCAATTCCAAATATCAACAGCTGCAGTCAGGCAAGCTAAAGACTATTTGCCATCTTTTGCTTTTTGAAATGAGAAGTATCAGAAAGGGCCAAGGAAAGTGGGTTTCAGGTACATATCTATTTCACACATTCTCCTTTGCAGTTTGTTAACATTTGGTCTCTTACCTCAATCAGTGTGAAAAATCCCAATGCAAAGTACGATTTCCAATAACAAAGCATAATTGCTTTGGTTAAATGTGGCGTCCTTGCTTCTTTTTTCGCCTTTTGGATCTCTTTATCCCAGTACCTGTAAGATTTTTTTAAAGGAGTAAATGTTAGAGGAGAACACTGGGACAAGGAACAAAGAGAGAACTGCACTGAGCCTATCATACTTTGGCTATATCATGAGAAGACACAGCTCAGTAGGGGGAAAAAACCAATAATGCTTGGCAAAATACAAGGCAACAGGAAAAGAGGAAGACCCAACTCCGGATGGATAAACTTAATCAAGGAATTCACAGCCCCAAGCTTGCAAGACTTCAGGAGGGCTGTGAAAGATTGGCTGACTGGGAAGTTTCTTATTCACAGGGCCAAAGTTGAATGGACTCCAATTCCAATTCCAGAACAGACGTGATAAGCTTGAGGTGATACGTGACATCAATCCATGCACAAATCTTACACCACTGTCTTTGTAGATCAAAGAAGAAATTAATTTTGGAGAGCTTTTATTGCTAGGAATAAATAGTCATCAACGTTTTTATTTTCTCAGTTCAGAGAAAACTTTTGTATATACCATAGTTCAAAAACTTTATTTAGGTATTCTCCTTTACATGCACAGCAGACAAGGAAGATGAGAACACCAGATCCATGTGGTTAACCCACCAACTTCTTAGGATTTAAAATTTGAAAACCTCCAAGAAACACAATTCTCAAATGTGTAGGAGAACTTCTACAAGTGAAGGACATTTGTAGTCCTTCTCCACATATAAAGGAAAATAAGGAGAGAGACTTCCACCATGAAGCTGCTGATCAGACTGTGCTCTGGCACTATGAGATGCAGAGCCAACCTTAAGAAATGGGGCTACCAAGTGGAGTTCACGACATCCAGGTGTGGAGAAGAGCAAACCACAGACCACCTTCTGCAATGCAACCTGAGCCCTGCCACATGCACAATGGAGGATCTTCTTGTAGCAACACCAGAGGCACTCCAAGTGGCCAGCTACTGGTCAATGGACATTTAGTATACTGCCAAGTTTTGAACTTGTTTGTGTTTTTAAATACATTACAACTGTACCCTTAATTCGCTTCTGATACAATAAATAAAATACCATGAAATAAGAAGATCTATAGAAAACTAATGACACGACAATGGGACACTTCAAAAATAGGAACCTAAAGTCTGCCCAAAACAAACACTTTTAACACACACACCATAGTACAAGCTGGGGAAAAAACTAGCTCTTCAAGATGTGTCCCATCATATACTTCTGAAAGCTTTGGACAGAGAAAACAATCCTTGCAATGCATAAGCACTAAAGAAAGAAGGGCCTGGCTGCCATCATCTATGCAAAGTTTTCTACTTACCCTTGCAATTCCTCCCCCAGCACCTTAGAGGAATCTTCCATGAGTACTTTATACATATCATCTTCTTCTAGTTTCCGTTTATGACCAGTAGTAAATAATGGATTTAGCCACCTGTTGGATAATAAGACATTTAAAAACAATCCTGGAAGGCCACTTGCAAGGGGTGAATGTTTACTTGAAGTTTCCCTACAACAGAAGTGTGCCAGGTGAAATCCCATGTAGCTCCTCTCCCCAATAGCTGTTTTTAGGAGGGCAGGGACATCTTACAGTAGTATCCTCTCCGTCCCATAATTTAGGAGTGGGAATTAACCACAAACCAAACAAAAAATAGAAGGAACTTTGGCCCTGTGTGCACCCTTTTATACTATGTAATTATAGCACTGTGACATTACTGAAACTCCAGAATTCCATAGGATGCAGCCATGACAGTGAAAGCACAATCATAGCGCTATAATTACATAGTGTGGAAAGGGCCCAGTTTTTGGGGGTTTTTTTCTTCCCATCATTTTTTGGGGGGAAGTAGACTGTGATGAATTCCCTGATGGAAAATTGGTTTCCAGATTCGTGGAGATGATTCATTCTTGCCCTAAGAAAGGCTGGTGAGACTGTGACGTCATAAACAACTTAGAAAGCTGTTCAAAGTAGTATTTAAGTAAGGCTAGGTCATAAACCAAAAACAATACTTAGTCTACCAATTGATTGATTGAATATTTGTAATGATCTCAACCAGGGCAGGAAAATAGATAACCACCAGATATTCTTGGACTATAACTCCTATCATCATTTACCATTCTGAATGTCAGCAAGGGCTAATGGAAATAGCACTTCAACCACTTCTGGGGAGCCATATATTCTCACCCTCTAGTCTGAAGTTTTCCAAGCATTTCATGACACTTTTTAGACATGCATCATTTCTTGACATAGTTGCTCAGATTTACTAGCAAATCAAATGTTAAACCAATACCTTGTAAGACAGTGTTTCTCAACCTGGGGGTCAGGACCCCGGGGGGGGGGGGTCATGAGGGGATATCAGCGGAGTCTCCAAAGACCATCGGAAAACACAGTATTTTCTGTTGGTCATGAGGGTTCTGTGTGGGTAGTTTGGCCCAATTCTATCGTTGGTGGGGTTCAGAATGCTCTTTGATTGTAGAGGAACTATAAATCCCAGCAACTACAACTCCCAAATGTCAAGGTCTATTTCCCCAAAGTCCACCAGTGTTCACATTTGGGCATATTGAGTATTCATGCCAAGTTTGGTCCAGATCCATCATTGTTTGAGTCCACAGTGCTCTCTGGATGTAGGTGAACTACAACTCCAAAACTCAAGGTCAATGCCCACCAAACCCTTCCAGTATTTTCTATTGGTCATGGGAGTTCTGTGTGCCAAGTTTGGTTCAATTCCATCATTGGTGGAGTTCAGAATGCTCTTTGATTGTAGGTGAACTATAAATCCCAGCAACTACAACTCCCAAATGACAAAATCAATCCCCCCCCCCCCCAACCCCACCAGTATTCAAATTTGGGCGTATTGGGTATTTGTGCCAAATTTGGTCCAGTTAATGAAAATATGTCCTGCATATTTACATTATTTACATTATAATTCACATAACAGTAGCAAAATTACAGTTATGAAGTAACAACAAAAATAATCCATCCACATGAATCTTTGTGTTATTTTATATCTTCTGTAAAAGCTCTGCCGAAGATTCATCCACAGTACATCAAATTTCTTTTACCATAAAATAATTCTGAAAGAGCCCTTCTCTGTTAGAGTATGCTAATGACCTGGTGGCCACAGGAATGGTGCCGTTCAAGCAGAGAATAAGCAAATCGTTGTTCTCTCAAGCAGTTGAAGATTAATTTGTGTTGCAGTTTCTATGCCTTACTGATATTTTAACAAGTATGAGTCCCCTTTGGGAGACAAGTGAGATAGAAATAAATAAATAACATAACATATTTCTGCCACTTCTGTAATTGTTCATTTGTATTTTGATTCTGTAGCCCACTTGTGATAGATGTCCAGAATCAGCACCATCCACCATGGTCCTTTTTATCCTGGGCATCAACCGAGCCAGTATAGACTTTGTTTTGATCTGTTTCTCCATAGTACTAATGAGTTAGGTGCTCTTAGTTCCACTCCTCAGCTAAGACCTCTCTAACTTAGTTGGACCTGCTGGTATTTACACTACCACCATCACAGCTCTCTCCTTGGAGCAGTTAAGTCCCCCACCACAACAAGGAGGCACCCATCACGATCTGCAAAAGGCCACCTTACTTGAACCTGCGCACATCATTTGAAAATATATCACACAGTCCTAAACGCTTGGGAAGTGTTCGACTTGTGATTTTGTGATACAAAATCCAGCATATATCTCTCATTTGCTGTGTCATACTGTGTGTATATTAATAATAACGTATTACTATTATTGTTGTATGTAATTTGTTTCTAACATTGATTTTTCAGGGCATTCTTTTTATGCTGCTAAATGTACACAGCCTGGAAAAGAGGAAAGATCATTTTAAGCAACAAAAAATAAAGTGAAAATTTTAAATTTAACGAAGTCCTTTGTTCCAAAAGTTATAGTCGTTGCTACACTGAAATCCAAAAATACAGATCTGAGTAAATTGAAGCAGAACAAATAGAAATGCAATTTACAAGTAAAAGAAAGCCTTAGATGTCAATTGAAAATATAACTGTATTCAATTAAGGCAGTTCAAGAAAGTTGCCCATTCCTGTGGACTCAAGACATGGCTTTGGAACCAAGCTTTTGATAAGTAATTGGCGCAGTGTCATGAATCAATCCAATTAAGGCAGTTCAAGAAAGTTGCCCATTCCTGTGGACTGGTGATATATTAACCTCAACAGAAGCTGATGTGACTTATAGGCCCTCTCCATGGAAGAGGACAAAGGTGAAGGAGCCATCCGCTTTACACTGTGAAAGTCTTGTGAGAGTAGATGGTCAAATAGCAAGCAATTCAAAACTGTTCACATCTTTATCAGGGTCAGAATAAAAAAGGCTAGACTGCATCTTTTTATACTCCACCAGCAAACTGCAAAGACCACTAATAGTTTTGGAAGTAGTAAGTCAGGATATTATGATATGTTGAAAGTCAACTGGCTGCATAATTCTAGCACACTCCCTGAAGCATTTTGCCACACTTTTGACTCCTGTTTGAAGTAAAGAAATACAATTTTCTTTTCCACATGACAGGATGCCACTGAGGATAAGCCTGCATCAAAATCTCCTTGCAGAGTCTCTTAATTTCCTACTTGGTTAATGAGTGCCCCATGTTCACCCCTCTGATTCGGTTCCCCGGCTCCCAGAAAAGCCGCTTTCCAACTTGCAACCCTGTATCTTGTGGAACAACCCGGGAATTTAAGAACAAAACAGAAATGTGAATAAAGTGTAAGTCCCTCAAGGCTGCCATCTGGGCTTCTGTTCTGCTCAGGTTGCCAAGAAAGGAGTGGGGTGTTTTCCCCATTCAATCCTGTGAGAAGATGCTTTGTATTCAAAAGCCCTTCTGACTCGCTGCCCTTTGGACCCTTTGGACTTTCAATCACCTTGCAAGAGCCTGCTGCCACTGAATTCTTTTTGTTTGCTCACTCATTAGTGGTACTTTTATGCTCACTCCTATTCGGACCTGGAAGAATAAAATGTAAAGCACTTGTATCCTTTCCCCCGCATGAGGTATGCCACTTTGCTAAGGCATTGCCTCAGGTAACCCTTTGCTTGTAGTAGCAGGGATTTTCCCAGGCTATTTTTTTTCCTTTTCCAGACTGTGGCTCTCAAAACTCCTCCCTCCAACAGAGAAAGCTGAATCAGGGATTCTGGGACAGGCTGTCCAAAGATTAACGTTTCCAAGCAATGGATTTTTCCTAATCAAAACTCCCTTGGCACATAGGGTTTTCATATGTTTCTGAAACCCCAGAAAACACAAAGTCTGGAGAACCCATTATTATATGGGAATATTTTTCACCTTTTTTTCACTTTTGATATGTTGCAGATGCAAGATTCAATCTAACCCTACAGTCAAGATGCATCCAGCACCTTGGATAGCTCCTTAGGTTTTGGACCCAAAACCAGAGCACATGCACCTCGGCTCCAAGACAGACATTCCTATGTTCAGTCAGGATAAGGGGAAAAACACAGGAGATGAACACAAAAATGTAATTTCTTTTCATGTCAGAAGTGGCTTGAGAAACTTCTGATGTGAGAGAACTGGCCATCTACAAGAACGTTGCCCAGGGAGTGCCCAGATGTTTGATGTTTTACTATCCTTGTGGGAGGCTTCTCTTATGTCCCTGCATGGGGAGCTGAAGCTGATATAGGGAGCTCATCCACGCTCTCCCTGGATTCAAACCTCCGACCTGTCGGTCTTCAGTCCTGCCGGCACAAGTGTTTAACCCATTGCACCACTGGGGGCTCCACAAAAGAAGATAAAAAGGGATGACTGCACTGCCTGAAAACCTGAGTATGGCAGACTGACCAAAGAAGCAGTCTTCTTTTTCATTCAGCACACAAGAACTATGTTACTTCAGTTCCTAACTGCCCTTAAGGGAGAAGGTCCTGACAACTGCACAAGGATTGGGGAAAGATCATAAATCTTTACCACCCCTGACTATTTCCAGAATAAACCCAACCAGGAAATTAGGTTCATGGTTTTTTTCCCTTCCAGGTACAAGCAATTTGCCTAAATTCAGATCAACCAAAGGGCCAAGAGCCACAGCAGCCCCCACGCCTTCAATATGTTTGACCAGTCATCTAACACGGTTATTTTGTGACATTAAAATTGCCTATCAAAATGCACATGGAAACAATTTTAGGGGAATATATGAGCAGATCCAACATCATTTCTAATTCTTCATAAGCCATAACAGTTAATTGTCCTAATTTTTGAGCAAATTGTGTAGAAGAAGGAATGTGTAGATGAATAAATTTTAGCAGATGTTGCTTGGTGCCTGGTTGCCTGACAAGTGACTGAAATTCTCTCTTCTACACAACCCTTAAAGGTATAGGAGCCTTCCAGTTTTCACTCTGGCAGCCCAGTTCTGAGTGGCGAGATTGATGAGTACTATAGAAAGGGCTTCCTTTATAAATTGTGAAATGTCC